AACCCTAACCCTAACCCTAACCCTAACCCTAACCCTATTATATCTATCCGATAAGTACCTACGAGAATATAATTTAATAGTATCTCGAATATTAAACTCCTAAGGAGTTCCTCTACGAACTTATAAAGCGAACTATACCTTTTAATAACACTCGAATTTTCGGCTTTGCCGTCGATGTTATGCCTCAGGCATTCACGTTGCCATCCACCGTTTATCGAAATAGCAACACATTCTGCTCGAACAAGAGCACTAACACCAATTCCGCCGACCTTGTCGTCTCCTCTATGCCTACCTCTTCCTTACCTTACCGCAACCCACGACGCACCTCCCGCGCATCCCGCCGCCTCCGCGTTGCATGCGCCCGGTGCCACCAGCGGAAAGTCCGATGCGACGGCGCCATTCCCGCGTGCGCGACATGTCGCCGAGCACACACAGCCTGCGAGTACGACGACGTACTGCCTGAAGGCCGACGCCAACGCCACTCGTCTGCATCTCCGCCGATCCTTGACCACCTCGACTGACCGCCGCCAGCAACGCCGAACATTCCGCTGCTCCGCCGACAGCATCTCCAGCCTCCGCCTTCAATGCCCCAGAGGATACTCAAGCATCCAACGAACTCTCCCCACCGCCACGCCCAGGACCTCCCCGCGATGGCAATCTCTCCCACCAAGTAGGCCTCGTCTCGCTCCTCGCCGGAACCGACCCCAAGTACATCGGCCCATCCAGTGGCTTCTTCTTCGCCCAAGTCCTGGGTGCTCGCCGCCCAAATGCCACCAATCCTGCTGAGAACAGCATCCGCCGCCAAAGACAGCACGACGTCGCCACCAAAGTCTTCGAAGACGTCCACCCACCGCAACCTCGCACAGCAGATGACATGATACAGCTATCAGAGTCTTACTTCCAGACAGTCCACCTCCAGTACCCCTTCCTTAACGAGGCTACCCACCGCCAGCACATCGAACGCATGTATAGCAACCAGCACATCTCCTCCACGCAGCGATTCCAAATTCGCATGGTTCTGGCCATCTCCAGCACGATCCTCTCCCGACGCACGCGCGTTGAGCTGCCCGCAAACAGCTGGTGCGCCGAGGCAACGCAGGCATTCGTCGAACTCCAGCTCGAAAGCTCTCTCGAAGGCTTGCAATGCCTCCTACTGCTCGTAATCTACGTGATGCACAGCCCAGCTTCCAAATTGAACGCCTGGCATATCAACTACCAGTGCATCGCTATGGTCCTCGATCTCGGCTTGCAGAGAGACCTGGGCAACAACCCATACATGTCTCAATACACCAAAGAGATGCGCACTCGCGTCTTCTGGGCCGTCTATTGCATTGATCGCAAGCTCAGCACCATGATGGGTCGTCCCATTGGAATTCGTGACGAAGCTTGCGATCTGAGAGTCAGTGCAGCTCAGATATCTCATGGCCGATACTGACATGACATGCAGATGCCCGCGGACATCGACGACTACCATTTGAGCAACCCTGCCACGCAAGCTGTTACCCACAGTACAACGCACATGACCTACGCAATCCACCTCTTCCGGCTGTCCACCATGATATCAGAGATCAAGTATGTCCTCCCCAGCGTACGCCGCGACACTCCTTCACACGCCTTCCCGGCCATTCTCGACATCTACGAATGGCAAGACACCATGAATACACGACTAGACGAATGGTATTCCCAGATCCCGGACGCAAACGCCAGTGAGCGCCTCGAATATGGCGTCGCACTCTGCAAGCTTCACTTCCACACCATACGGACATCCCTATTCATGCCCAGCCCGGGCATACCGCAGCCACTGCTGAACAGTCAACGCGTCTGGTATCGGAGCTCTTCGCAGGCCATCAAAACATTCAGTGCACTTCACGCCAACGACGTCCTCGTACACGACTGGAGCACTTGCCATGCTATCATTCTCCACTCATTCTGCATCACATATTTCGCTCTTGCCGTCCCTGCGATCGCCTCTGAAATGCAGCTTGGCAGCGTCATGGCAAACTTGCGAGCCGCGTCGAGCATCCTCAGTGCGGCAGGCGAATACTGGGTTGGCGCAAAGCGCACACGTGTCATACTAGACGATCTTGCAGGCAAAGTTTTGACCGCATTGACAAATTCACGCGAAGCCAGGACTGAAGTGTACAGCCAAAGCAATGGCTTGCAGCAGCCGGATGGGCACCGCAACGTCCATGAAGCATCACCAGAACGTGCAAAGCAATCCTTGCCAGACATGCTGTCACAGGAGTTTTGGACGCAAGATACATCCGAGCAACTGGGATCGTGGAATCCCTTTGCCGACTTGTTTGCTACTGACTTTGACATGAGTGCATTGTTCACTAACGACATGAACTTCACAGCTCCGACCGGCTCCACTGGAGCCTGATGCGACCTCAACTGTTGCCTTGCGAGGCAAAAGGCAGGCTGTACCTTTCAGAACTCATTGCAGAATGTGGACGCAAACCTTGACTGCAAGGACAAATACGCGAATCCGGGTCGCATGACAATAAAGTCATCTCACAAAAACCGATGCGAACACTCGTGACATGGGCCCACCTGCGATGTATAGCGATCCCTTCTCAACGGACGTTCGGCGATGCTGTATTGTTTGCACCAGAAGCCGCCGGCGGAGCAACGGAATTGCCGAACGTGAGCTCCGAGGACAAGCGCCGAAAGCGGACCATGAGCTCTGCACGGTAAATACAGCTTTTATGCTCAAAGCCACCTCGAGCACGATCGCGTAAAGTGAAACGACGAAACTGCAACACTGAGATTCCTCACTCTCAACAACATGGCGGACCACGACTCGGATGAGAAGCCTCAGTGTATCCACGTCCACCCAGAAAAGGCTCTCGACTTCGCAACGGCCTTGCTTCGCAGCCATGGAATGTCACTCCACGATGCGCAAATCGTGGCAGAGTGCCTTGTTGCAGCAGACCTGCGAGGAGTCGACACGCACGGGATCAATCGCCTACCATCATACGTGGAAAGAATCCGAAAAGGCCTCAATGACCCCACGGCCGAGCCAGTCCTGTCATCCATCACCCCGGTAGTAGCGGCCGTAGACGGCAAGAATGCATTCGGGTTTATTAGCGCCAAACTCGGCATGGCCAAAGCTATTGAAATGGCTGAGACTTACGGCATCGCCATGGTCAGCATCAAGCACTCAAATCATTTCGGCATGTCAGCCTGGCTAGTGCAACAAGCCATAGACGCAAACATGATGAGTCTCGTATTCACAAATTCTTCCCCTGCTCTACCCGTATGGGGCGGTCGCGAGAAACTCATGGGCGTCTCTCCAATCGCCTGTGGTGCACCTGGAGAACCACCCTTCATCTTGGACATGGCACCTTCGGTCGCGGCTCGTGGTAAAATCTACAAAGCTAAGCGGCGAGGAGAGAAGATCCCTCGCGACTGGGCATTAGACGCGGAAGGCCGGAGCACTGACGACCCAGCTGCAGCTCTTGAAGGAGTCATGCTGCCTATGGGAGGACCAAAAGGCTCCGCACTCGCTATCATGATGGACGTCTTCTCGGGTGTGCTTTCTGGCTCTGCCTTTGCTGAAGACGTCACAGGACCCTACGACTTCTCCAAGACTGCTAACGTCGGGCGTTTCCTGGCAGCAATCAAGCCAGACCTCTTCATGGACCTTACAGAGTTCAAGTCACGAATGAAGTACTTTTATGACAGAGTGGTGGGCTCGAAAAGAATGGAGGGCGTGGACAGAATTTACTTCCCCGGCGAGATCGAACAGATCAATGAAGCGAAAAGGCGCAAGACGGGCATCCCGTTTGCACAAGCAGAAATCGATGCTCTAAACAGAGAGGCAGAACTTCAAGGTACTTCCGCCTTGCATTAGTGATACACCACAATCCATGCTCTGCTCTGCTTGCATGCAATATGCTGCCCATCTGCGTCGAAATTGTGCCTGTACTCACCACCGATGTTTAAATTGGTGCTTGTGCTTGATAGAAAGCTATCAAAGCAATGTCGGCCAGATCAGATCTGCGCTGGCGTCCTAAATATCGTCAGCAATTACCGCCACTGGTTTCATGAACCATGCTCTAGATTGCTGCAAGCAAATTACATCTGTATGCCTAGGTTCGAGTCGGCCAGTCTGCCAAATGCAGTCGCGCCGAGTTCCGCAAAAAATGACCGAGCCAGTCCTCGGAAATGCCGTTGACTTCTCCGAAGGCACACATCTGGCTTCACACCTAAGCCAGGTCTACCCGTGATGTCTTGGAACAGTCTTCCCTCGATTCTGCCTACCTGGCTACCATCGCAACGCACATCTTCAAGTCCGCCGTTGACAGCTCGGCCGCCACTTAGCGATCTCCCTCGAATTGCAGCGTCTCAAGATGACCATTATACATATTGGTATGAAAAAACTCCCATCAACATGCCCATTCACCAACTCGTTTTAACTTCATCAAAGTCCTGTTCAAATTCCGCAGCGGAGTAACCCAACAACACAAAGACCTCTTCGTCAAGAGCCTAAAAGCCCTCAAAACACTTCCTTGCGTGAAAGATCACCGTCTCATCGTCGGCGGACCATCAATCACAGACCCGACCGAGCGCAGCAAAGGATTTCACTATGCACTGCTCAGCTGTCATCAGGACCGAGCAGCTCTGGAAGCGTATCAAGCGTCTAAGGAGCATCACGAGTGAGTGACAGAAATCGTAGAGGCTGGGTTGCGGCGACGGCTGATGTGCATTGGCAGAGTAACTTCAACATTAATGTTTCCTTACAAGGAGGATTTGATGCGATTTGACTTCGAAGTTGCGCCGGAGGACGAGTACATGTGTGAAGCAGCAGTGTCGGCAATGACAGAGCGAGGACAGGGGGCAATCCAGTGATGCCATGAAAGAGCCATTCCGGGACAAATTGGCTGAGCGCCATGCACCAAAAGCGTGAAGCAAGCCAGTCCGATTGTACGTTGTTCGTCAAGAAAATATCAGATTGCATCTATATAACGAGTGCAACACAAAGATTCTTAGCAGGCCGTCCCATGATCAAGCATAATCATCTTCCTCTTCACTATCACTGTCCTCAGCCCCACCCGAGGCATCATCCTTCTCTTCCCAATACTTCTCAGCTGGCTGCACGAAAAAAGGACTCTCCGATTGGATTGATGCTGAAGGGGACAAATCTGGAAAGCCCGTAGCGGCATGGAGACGCATAGCTGCAAGTCTAGCCAGCATGTTGTTATCGGAAGCGAATGCGCCTAGCGTGACATCCGGTTGCAATTCGTCCAACCGCCGATGGTTCCAACGATCGAGAAGCTTGGGCTTGTCGCTTTGCGACGTGGAACGCCGTGAACCGGACCCTGATCTGAATCAGCAAGCGACAGGATACAGTACATTGAACAACTCACGGCTCTGCGAATCTTCGAGAAGCAAACATCGAGGAAAGCCACTGATGGGATAGTCAAGCTTCTTGAGATGGCTGCCTGCAAGTCTGATAGCGACAAAAACCTTCGCCATTGAATTGTGAATGGGGATGTTTAGTAGAACTGGTTGGAACACAGGTGTCTCTGCCATCATATCGTCGATCTGTGCAGGTTTAAACGAGATCTGTGATGCAGTTCATTAGCACAAAACCAGTTCTTTCCTCAAGACCACTGACCTTCTGAATATTATCCGAGTTCTCCTCGCTAATCAAGATGCAAAGCTCGTTCTGCCGCGCGAGATACTGCCCGAGGCTTCGCAGGTGTCTTGAGCCATTTTCAAAGCGGCAAAGTATTCTGCCGGAACACGTCTGTTGGCTTTGTACCGCCGCCGACGTAGTTGCCTCTTTGCAGAAGTAAAAGGTAGAAGCCACGAGCTGGTGGGCAATGCGTTGGGCCATCGCCCTAGACTCATGAGTCTTCAGCTCTTTCTGAACGGTCTTTCGCAGATTGAATAATTCCTGAACAGCGTCAAGTTTTGGTGGTCGACCTTTGAGGTCGACATTCCAACGGAAGTAGGGCAACGGGCTGCGATCTGGCCAGGTAGAGCGCGTCCGTTCCACTTGTCTTTCGAAAGCCATCCAGGACCTCTCAGTGTCAAGCATATTGTCGAAACGCTTGGCCTGACCGCCGCATTAGCAAATAAAGGGCTAGATTCTCTGAAAGTAACTGACCAAAATGTGAATTGCTTTGCGGAATCTCTTTCTTGGCTTCGCACGCTTTCGTGTTAGCTTGCTCAGGACCTGTTGGTCTTGAATTCTGTGGGCGTTTCAGTACGGTCACGATTATCTAGATCCGAGGAAACATACCGGATAGCAAGGTCGCCCGCCTGTGTCTGTATGTCGCGAAGTTTGGTGGTAATGGCTGTCTTGTTCTGTCCTGTCCCGATGGAGAGCAGGATGTCAGGCTCTGCTCCAGCTTTGTCCGGCCAGAGCAACTGTCTCTCTCGCTCCGCGACAGCAGCAGGGTTGTTCCAGTAGAGGGCACCATCAACGAAGCACCGACTTGTCTCGGCGTGTATAAATGTCTTGAAGTACTTCGGTGCCGCTGACGTGGCCGCAGCTGCTTCGTACACCTTCATCTCACGCGACGGAACATTCGAACGGATGAAGTCGTACTCTTCCTGCTCAATTTCAGCGCGATTGTAATTTGCAATGATTGCTGGCCCTTTCCCAATGTCAGAGTGCGTGGTCACTGCGACTTTTATTGGGAACTCAGGTTGCTCTTTTCGTCTGCCCCCAAACATCGGCTCGTCTCCAAGGCTGACCTGCAAGGCTTGGTACAAAGGTTTCGTCTTGTATAAGCTCTGACGTGCAGCAAGTGTCAGCCATCGTGGCACCTGTTCTGGATCCCTGCGCGTGAAGGCCTGGCTGCACAGCATGATGAATGCATCAGTGCATCGCTTGAGGTTCCACTGTTTAGATGCCAATGCCAGGGCCACAATACCGCCGGTGCTTGTAGTATATTAGCCGAGCCTGCCATACTCTGGTTGTCTGCTCGACATACCTTGTACCCACGATGAGGTCGAAAAACGCTTGCACTGGCAACGAACCGTCCAACTCTCTTTCGATAGCATGGAGAACCTCTAGCTCAACAATCCCGCGAACACCACCACTATGATTGTCAGTCCAAAACGCCTTGAACCTGCTGCACATTCCGAAGCTTACATACCCATCGAGGCTGAGTACTCGGACGCCAGCAAACAAGGGTTTCATAGTGATGCGCCAGGGCCGTGGAAAAGCATCGTCACAGTGGAGAGGGCATTGATCGAGACTGGTTATACAGTCGCTTTGCGCGTTACCATGAATCGCAACACAGCCCGAGCAGAGCACGTGGCCACACAACAACGCATGTTCTGGTGTCGCCCGCAAGCAAGACAGACAGGTTGTGTTGCTTGCGTAGCTGGCCGGTAAGCCTTCCGTGGTGCGCTTTGGATTCATGTTGGCATACGCTTCGCTGAGGAAGGATCGTATAGTCCGAGATTTGGCCTGAATGCTGTTGTCATCGTCGGGAGATTGCAGGGCGTCGTGCATATCTAGAACGCGCTGTTCAATAGCAGAAAACCACTTATTCTCAAAGTCCGTGATATCGATGCCGAAGACGTGGGACCCTGTGCCGATTGGCTTTCCCGCCGCATTTTGATGCCCTTTGGCTTCGTGTCCTGCTCGGCTGTTCCTGCACTGCTGTGAGTGCCTGTTTTGAAATGAACAAGGCCAGTAGCGATCGCAGAACTCAGTGAAGACGGCTTTCAAGGACGGTTTGTATCCACGCAAGAGATCTGCCACTGGTCCTGTACATACTTAGCTTAAATTGTTGGGAAGCGTCGAAGACCATACCGTCATCTCGTTGTTCCGCATCTAGTAAAACGCAACATGCTATAACACGTCCTATGTCAGACAAAAATGCTTCAGGAGGTCGATCTGGTTGCTCTTGACGCGTCAGCAAGACTACAGCGTACATATGATCAGCGAAGTCTTCCGGCGGTGGATTGTTCTCCAGCTCAATTTTGATGAAATCAAAGGGCTCCGTCAGTGTTCGGGCAAAATGGTCGAACCCGGCTTGCAGGTACCGGTTCATGCCGTCGGCAGTAATAGGCATGTGCCATTTCTGCTTTGCGAAGAACGACTCAGCGCATCTATGCGAGATGACTCGTTGCAGGAGTGCTGCTTGCTGGTCAAGCAGATTGAATCGTCCTTCGCCCTTTGGTATACGGACAACTGTGAACGACGAGTAATACTTCAACAGAAGTTCGTGGGCGGTCTGTATGTCCTCGCCGGCGCTGTCTCTCCAGGCATTGGCCAAAGCTTGAAAATGAGGTATGCCACACAGCCCGGAGTTGGCGCCACAGTCGTTGAGTACAGACTGTGTTGTAGCATCGTCCTCCCATTCGCTGCAATCAGCGCTGCACATGTTTAGTACTAAGATTGCATGTGGGAGTCGTGGCGAGTTCAAAGACTTTTCGAGAGATGCTGCGCCCCACGCTACTAATTTCTTCAACACGTTCTGGAACACTCTGAACAAACTTTCCATCAGTACTATCCATGCAGCGCAAACAGAGAATGATCGAACTTACTTGGGATTGTGCAGAACGTATACGACAACATCGGAGAAGGTGTAGAGCAGCCTGGGATATAGTTCTGTCACTACATATTCTCGGGTTCGCCTGTCTTCACTCGTGGCCCATTTAATGAGACGTGGGTTACGCAACCACAGATTGCGGCGTAGCTTTGCGCGCTTAGCTACGCCAGGCAAGATAACGTCCGGTCTCGACTCGGCTTGCTTCCGATATTGGATCGCAGAGGGCTCAAAAGCTCCTCCACGTAGGCCTTCGCAATCGGCGAAAAGCATCGGTAGCGGTGTATTTGAAGTACTTGGATCACTGTAAAGGTGCACATCACCAGTGGTTGGCGTATTAGGATGAGCCGTCGACCCTGATATTGGAGACGGAAAGTCACTCTCAGATGTTGAGATACCATTGTGGTGTTGCCTGCGGATCAGAATCTTGATCAAAGTACTTTTGCCAGCATCTATCATGATGAGTAGCAGCCTGCAGACTGAATTCGGGGTGACGTACTTGTATCGCCGATGAATGACACCAGCTGAGGAAACTTCACGGTGTTCTCTGCAACACTAGTATCTGACATCAGAGAAGAGTACTGTCCCCGATCATTCAGGTACAGGAAATTATTTGGGCCCTTGTCAACTCCGAACCACAAGGACTCTGCGTCCTTCCGATGCAAATCCTGGAGCTCGGTGCGAGACAGCGGATTCGTCAGAATCTTCTTGTACAGTTGTACTATCGGAAGCGCAGCTCGTTCGTGCGCTTTGCCATCTCTCGCGACCTTGCCAGCGTCGTGTGCAACTTGGAAATTCCAGCACTGATCCTATAGGATGCTGTCGCAATCTCCGTAGAACTACGTAGCGAGGTCTTTACTTAAATAACGAGGATCCTAATATTTAGTACTAGCTACGGAGTTCCGGTTTCCCGATAGACTATTAGTTATAATTTCGCAAAAGGGTCGATAATCTAGATTGCAGCTACGTATAGGTAGAGTCTCTTTTTAAGAAATGCTAAGGGGTAGCAGATTGCAGGTATGCCTTAGCTTTATAGGATTGAGGTTGTACCCCCCACCTACAAATAGCCCTAATGGAGTTGCACACATCGGAAGGAGTCTCGCTGCATCGCTTGGCGCCATACAGCTTCATTCGCATGTAGGTCATTTCTAGAGAAGGAATGGCGTACCATCAGCTGATGTTTCTTTCTCAGCCCGTGCAGATTCAAGCACGCAATTTCGGACCCGTTCGCATACGTGAGCAGGAATGTCACTTCGTAACTTCGGTCGCGAAAATTACGCCGTCGTTGCTTTCCCTTGCCAGCGGTGCTCAGAGTTGGGCGAGTACCCTTGAAAAGAACCCCGTCGGTGACCCCGTGGCCTTTGAAGGCCCCGCGCCTCGCGCATCGCTGCTCGAGTGACCCTGTTGTACACCATTATGGGTTCTACAACATCTGCGCGGGGGTCCCGTAGAAGCTGGCGATGTCTTGCATAAACGAGGTGTGGCTCGAGGTGCACGTGTCGCAAGGCTATGTCTACCGCCGCGTGCTCTCGCCGTGTACATCGGGACAGCGGAAGGAAGCCCTTATCGTCGTATTGCCGTATCGAGTGATGGGATCTCACTGCAATGTTGATTGATGTATCGGAACGAGGTGGGCAAAACGAGATAGGCGAGTGAATGCCAAGAATACATTCCTGCCTGAGGCAAGATGCTCGAGGAGCACTGTAGCATAGCTATATTTCACTTGTTTCCTCCCTTTTATATCGATGGACAGGGCACTTGATCTATGTAAGTTTGACGTAGAGGGTCGATCTTATGGCCGCGGCTCCCCGCGTGTGTATTGCGAGTGCAGCAGTGGAGATTATCTTGTGTTACAGTGTTAAGATAAAGCGACCAGGTCTATCACCAGCTCACAATTATACAGGCCCAGTCGAACAAGTGATGCCTCCATCTACAGCGATCTCCTGCCCCGTAATGTACCTCGCCTCGTCCGATGCAAGAAACAGTGCAGCATATGCAACATCCCAAGCATCTCCCATGCGACCCATCGGCACCTTCGCATTTCTCGTATTCTTGAACTTCTCATAATCGCCATCTGCATATCGTGTCGCCATCTGAAATGTGCATGGAGTCTCCATTAAGCCAGCAACCACCGTGTTCAAGCGTACTCCCTTCTTCGCATAGATCACAGCAGTAGCCTTCGCAAACTGCAACAGAGCGGCCTTCGTCACGTTGTAGGCGATCTGAGGTTTCCCAATGTATCGCAGTCCTGCAATGCTGCCGATATTGACGACACATCCTGAGCCCTGCGATTCCATAACAGGCAACACAAAGTGACACGTCAGGTAGACACTCCTCAGATTAATGTCCATCTGTGCATCCCAAGTGTCCTCAGACATGGAAACAGGATCGCCAGGCTCGGATCGTCCGACATTGTTGAGGAGTATGTCGATTCGGCCGTGTTTGTCGAGGCAAGCCTGCACGAGCGCTTGCACAGAGGTTGAGCTGGTCACATCGGCTTGGACAACGTCGCAAATGCCGCCATCTTCCTGGATACGCTTCTGTGTACGAATAGCAGAATCGAGAGTACGATTGCCGCCAAACACTTTCGCACCTTGTCTGGCGAGAACAACTGCACACGCAGCTCCGATGCCCCAACCCTCTCCCTCGCTTTGGCCCAGGCCGGTCACCAATGCCACTTTTCGTTGGAGGTCGTGCATATTCAAGCAAAACGGAAAACACAATGGCAAATGTGCCTCCAATCTGACGCTGTCTTTCATAGGTCATTTCCGGCCGCCGCGAAGAATGTCCGAAGCTGTCGACGGAAAGTCCGAACGCCCGTCGGCATCTCCGTCTCCCTGGTCCTGGCCTTGAACGCGGCATCAATCAATACTCGCTCGTTCGAACGCCGCATCTCAATATCAAGAAACTTCGAGATGGCCAAGAATTTGCAAGATTACGATTTGGACATGCCAGTAAGCGGGCAAACGACTGGCCTTCGACAAGGACTCACAGCATATGGCGACGCACACTTCTCCCTGTTCTTGCGAAAGGTCTTCATCAAGGCCGCTGGCTACAGCGAAGATGCCCTGTCTCGGCCGATCATTGGCATTATCAACACGCACCCCGGATTCAATCCTTGCCATGCTCAGGTCCCTCAATTGGTGGAAGCGACAAAGCGAGGCATCCATCTCGCAGGTGGCCTCGCGATCGATTTTCCCACCATCAGCTTGCATGAATCGTTCTCCTCGCCCACCAGCATGTATCTCCGAAACCTGATGTCAATGGACACAGAAGAAATGATCAAGGCGCAGCCTATCGACGCATGCGTCATGATCGGTGGCTGCGACAAAACTGTGCCCGCTCAACTCATGGGTGGTATCTCCGCCAAAAAGATCGTTCTGCCTCTGGTCGTGGGACCAATGATGCCCGGATCGTTCAAGGGCACGCGCATTGGAGCTTGCACTGATTGTAGAAATCATTGGGCATCATATCGTGCTGGCGAGATGGACATCGAGGACATTGCAGGAATCAACGATGAGCTTGCTCCTACAGTATGTCAAACTCAGTCAAATTGCTTCTTCTGCAGCCACAATCTGACCTTTTCCCTTCCAGGCTGGAACGTGCGGCGTCATGGGAACTGCCAGCACAACGGCTTGTATCACGGCCGCGCTTGGTCTCATGCCATTTGAGGGAGCTTCGGCGCCTGCAGTGTCCGCTGCCAGACTTCGGGTTGCTGAGCAGACTGGCTCAGCAGCTGTGATGGCAGTTGACTATCCATCAAGAAATCCACAAAGCTTACTTACACGGGACTCGTTTGTCAACGCCCTTACTGTGCTGCAGGCCATTGGTGGTTCGACAAATGCAATAGTGCACATGATGGCCATAATCAACAGACACCCCGCATTGACTGGCACAATTACACTGCAGACGATCGATGAGATTGGCCGGAACACAGCACTTCTGGTCGATCTAAAGCCGAGCGGCGACAATTATATGACTGATTTCCACAATGCAGGCGGTATGAATGCGCTGCTACACACTCTTCGACCATTACTGAAGCTTAACGCTCGAACTATTTCTGGTGAGACACGTGGTGAACGCCTGGACGCCCAACCCTTTACTACGTTTCCATACTCTTCGAGATTGATCCGGCCGTTGAGCGATCCGCTATACGAGCACTCCGCGCTCGTGGTTTTGAGAGGCAACCTGGCTCCCAACGGAGCTATAATGAAAGCGTCTGCATCCAAAGATCCTCGATTGCTAGAATTCTCCGGGCCCGCAGTCGTATTTACCGACACGGCAGATCTCTCGGAACGCATCGATAGCGACGACTTGAACGTGACTCCGGACTCTGTCCTGGTCCTGCAAAATGTCGGTCCTATCGGAAATCCTGGAATGCCCGAGGCGGGCGTAATACCCATCCCGAGGAAATTGAAGGGCGTCAAAGACATGCTACGTCTTTCTGATGGTCGCATGTCAGGGACAGCAGGCGGCACAATCGTCTTGCACATCTCTCCGGAATGTGGTATCTTGGAGTCGCCGTTTGGTGTCGTTCGTGATGGCGATGTCATTGAATGCAGCGTGAAAGAGCGACGGCTTCACATCCGGCTTTCTGACGAGGAGCTGCAAGCTCGGATTGCTGCACGGAAAGAGGTGTTCTCTGCGAAAAGCAAGCTTGTTACCCGCGGACGCATCTTGGGGGAGAAGAGACGTGGCTACCGAGTACTTTATGAAAACACAGTAAATCAGCCGGAGCAAGGAGCAGACTTTGACTTCCTGACGGCAAATGGTTCTGTTCACATGTGAGCATTGCCACATTGAGATGCTACCGAGATTGCAGACCACCATGCATGAGCTCTTGCAATCGATCATTGTTCAGTTCTCCAGCAGTCTCTCGATCATCTTCGTGATGCCGGAATAAGTAGCCTATTCAAGTGCATAAGGCTCAACCACAGCGATCCCAGTATTCGCAGGGATAGTGATAGCGATCGGAAAGCCGCCATAGTCCGGACTCTCACTAGGCATAACAGCGAATTTCCCACTTCTCGTCTCGTCTCCGTTCAGCAATCTCAACGTCCGCAGCTCGCCTGTCTTTACATCGACCTCTTTCTCCTCAAATCTCGAAATCCCGTTGAACTTCGCTTTGCCGTTCTTCGCAGTGAACGAAACTTGGAATCCCCATCCAATCAACAGAAACTCATTCTGATCCAGATGAACGGCCATTCCCGAACCAGCAGAAGGCCTTCCAAAAACATGTGCTCGTTCCACCCGCAGATTCCAATCCTCAAACTCCATCTCTTTCGGGGAAGAAGGATCACTTCCATCTTCTCTCAACTCATCAAAGAAGAATCCCGCACAAGCGTCCTTCCTGATCTGCGCTGCTAGCACATACTTCGAGACCTTGCTCAACAGACCATAATGCTTTCCCCACACTTTCTCCAGCTCCTCAACTTCCAAACTATCAACCCCAAACGGCGCAGTCCCAATACATCGATGCGAACCAAAAGCCTGCCAAATCCTCCTCGCGCCATAATCATCCCTTCTCTGCTCAGGTATCAACAGACCCTGACCTCGGTGACGATATGCCTTACATGAAGCCTCATAATCATTCAGATAGATATCTGGCGCGATCAAGTCCAGCGACGGAGCGAAGAGCTTCCAAATGTCGAGGACGTTGCTGACGCCGCCGCCTGAAGGATAATCGCCAGGCTGACCACCACCCGCCACCATAGCTGGAGAATCTTCGGTCGAGTCTTGTGTCTCTTCAGCATAGTTCTGCCATACATATGTGAATAACGGAAGTGGATACACTGCTTTCCCTGCTGCGGCAACAGTTTCGACGTATTGAGAGAAATGATATGCCATGAAGAGTTCGTGGACTGTCAGGCCTTCTTCATCGCCGTTCGAAAGATCTTTCCACGTCTTGTTTTTTGCCGCGTTGACGAACTGTAGATGATGGAAATTCTTCCAAAAGGGCTCGTTAAGCTGTGACCATTGCTGATGTATAATCCGCAGAAAGTCCGCAGGCAGAGGTTGTTTCCAAGCTTCCACGGCAGGTGCTGATCGATCGACCGAATCGCCGAGCAGACCGACTTCGTTTTCGACTTGTACCATCACAATGGTCGAATGTCCTTCGTCAATTTCCTTGATATGCTGCATCAAGGCCTTGAAAGCTTTCGCATCTGCCTCCCTAGCAGCAGGATGAAAAATCGAAACCGCATCAGCAAGCATCTGTCCATCAGCCGTCCGTAATTCAGCTCGCGGGAACCGTTTCGCATCACGCTTCACCCATGATGGAGCATACGTCGAAAGTGCTACGTATGGTCATCAGCAATTACTCACATCGACGTCAGCATCGAACACAGAACAAACCATTCTTAAAACCCCCAAACCAAAGCAGCACCAATTTCAATCCCTCCTCTCTCGCATCATACACGATCCGATCCAGCTCATCAAACACAGAACCTCCCTCAGTCGGCTCGATCTGTTCCCAAGTCACAGCTCCAAACACGGTGTTGATATTCGCTGCTTTGAGCTTTGGCCAGATAGGTTTCATATAGCTCGCTGATGAGAATTGAGAATTTTGCACTTCGCCGCCGAGGACGAGGAAGGGTTTGTTATGGATGATGAGTTGCTGACAATTCCCTGTTGTTGAGAGATGAGGGATGGTGGGGGAAGTTATGGTTGCTTGGGGTGGCGGTGCGATTGTGTCTTGCATTGTTTCTTGGCGCATGGTATGCGGTATTGAGCTGAGTGACTCCAGAAGTGCAGTGCGAGAAGAGAATAGAGCTTCAGCAACTTCATTGAACACCTTGATCGACGTGGAAGAATGATTACGGCCAAGAGCTGCTGCAGCTGTACGAGGGTAGTGCATGTGAAGGATGCTGCCGGAATGGATATATGCATCGGAATTCCACCAATCATAGATGTTCAAGACCGCAACTCAGAACCTTTCCTCGCGTTGTTATCGAGCTACAAGCAGCAGCGACATCAAAGCTGGTCGACACTGGGCTGCATGCGATCATGATATCCAAAGACAGGCGCAGCGTGCACACTCCGAAATCGCGAGCCCAAACGCGACCGACTTGCATAAAATCCAATGTGGAAGTATGGGCTGGGAGTCCGGAATGCCTTCACTTGTGTTACACCTATATATATGTCGATGAAGCCCGCACCTACGGTCCAAACAACGTATTCTTCAGCCTTTGTCGCAGACTTAATTGTATAGGCGGAAGAACTCTCTTGCCATCTTTGTTGACCCCGTAGCCAATGTACTCGCGCCCCTCGCCGGAGCCCGCAGCATCTGCTGAGGAGGCGGGTTGGGACTGTGTGGTGACTTGAGGCTTACTTTGAGCATTGCTGGCCCCTGTCACTGCGACTGAAGGGCGTCGCGGAGCACGTTGAGGCCTGCCTTTTTCCAGCTCTTTTTGGGCACTTCACTCGTCTCGGCCGCCAGTGCTCTCTGGGTACGAAGAGCCGCATTCTCCGTCAATCTTTGTGCACGAACCCTCGAGAGCTCAAGTTGCAGGTCCTCATCCACTCCTCCAGTTCGCTCACTGTCGGCTGAGATGTATGTGGCTGCTAAAGCCACCAAACCTCCGTCTCTCAGCACTCTTCCTCTTGCATCGACTTTGCAGCCGACTAGGTCGTCTCTACTCTCTCCGGCTGTCGTCACGATACGACCGACTGCGATGCCGTCACTGTCCCTGACACGCCCCTCGTCAACTACACGTAGACCACTCAAGGAACTGAATGAGTACCCCGTCTGTTTAGATGATAATGCTAGGGGGACCGCTATTGTCTTTTCAGCTCCCTCTATGGTTACGGTTGCGACAGAGGGAGACAGAGCGGGTCCATTTTCTCGGAGTTCCGCTCGCAGTGCAAGTGGTATTCCCTGTGTGATCTCCGTATAGGTTCCCTTGGTCGCACCCGGTAAGAATGGTGCGGCTATCGCAACCAGCCGGCCGTCATCAGTGCGGATCCCGCCATCTCTGTCAACCCCACGTCCGACGAGAGATTCGACGTTGCTGTTCGTCAGAACAACTTTGCCAACAGCATGGCCACGTTCATCGCGGACGCGCCCTTCATGGACCACGTAGCAATTGTGCAGCCCGATAGGGCGAGGAGTGGCGCTTTTCCTGGACGGAGTGGGTCGCTGTTCATCTTCCGTACGCATCTCCACACCATGACTGGCCAAAAATTTTTTTGTAGAAGCAGCAATTTCATGAGTAGCCTCTCCGTCGACCCCAGGGACATATGGCGAAGCAAAACCGACAAGTATTTCACCGACCCAGATCAATCCGTTGCTGGCAACTTCCTGACCCAGAAGGTTTCTCGAGTTACTTGTCGTCAACACGACTTTTCCGACAGCTACTCCGGACCTGTTCCTCACCCGAGCCTCCTGAGCAACGTACAATTGATGATCGCCGTCAAAGAGTGGCGGGAAGTCCTCGTGTGGCGGACTCCCGGTGGCCTTTGGTTCTTCCCTACGCAACGGTTGAGCTTTTGATTCGGCCGAGAATCTATTATCCTGCGACTTGCTGTACTTATGATTACTTTCAGGCGAGGTCGCTGCGCCCTGTTGTCGCGGTTTGGCAGCAGTCTTCGTCTGACCGTCTCGTTTTTCTCGTGCTTGCGCGTGTCGATTTGGTACCAGCTTCATGATCGCGTTATACTGAAGAAGCTCTTCGGCTGTCATTCCACTAGTGGACATTGGGTCAGCTTTTGGCTTCTCAGCCACTGCTTCGTCTGAAGTACGCCGGGGCTGCTTTCCGGCGTCCTGGTGTTTGCGTAGGGCTTCGGATAGCTCTTTGGGATCCGGCGGCCTCTCGTTTTCAATTCTGAACCGGGGCACACCTGTTGCGATGTCATTCGGCGGCTGAACCGCTCTCCCTGCCGCACTGCGGGTCCCGATTTGCTTCTCATACTTTGTCGCCCAGGAGACTGGAACCCGCGGCTCTCGAAGTTGCGCAAAGTCGCCTGATCCCGATGCTGCGGCAATTTCTCGTTTGAGTCGCATCATTGCATTCTCTCTTTCACCATAGATTGGCGGTAAATATACATTGAAAATACCGAGCAAACAATATGCTCTGTCCTCAGCTCGCGTGGTGTTCCTGTCCCGCATCCAGGACATCTTCGTTTCCACGTCGACTGATGACAATTTCAAGTCGCCTGCCAGAATCTCGTGCGGGATACCAGATGCCTTGCTAAGCTCGAACACATAGCCTTGCATGATCGAGCTCGAGTGTACCAGACGTAACCAAAGCGGCGTGCCAGTGGTAATTTTGGCTCCGATGTATCGCCAAGCAGAATCGGCAAAGACGACGGTGGTTGGCGCGAGCAATTCCTGGAGCGTCCACCCACGTTTGAACCATTCGCTATTCGATAATTGGAGTGGTTCGGGGCCAACGTAGACCTCCTGATATACATCATGGAGCAATGCGATACAGATAGCCGACTCTGCGTACCACCTGTACATGGAATTGATGGCTTCAGACAGCTCGACCAGGTTGCGCTTGTCAATGCAGCAGGTGTCGATCCATATCCAGTCTAGATCTAGCTGACATTCTCTCACAAACTTGCAAAAGCTCAGGACCTTCTGATACCCAGGCTTCTGCTGCTGTCGGGCGTGGGCGACATCGTCGTACGTTGTCTCATGGCTGGTCTTGCCCCAGCGGTGAGAGGTGATCGCATACGGCGGCAAGTCTTCGTCCGTGAACTCTTCCAGTTCCAGAGTATGTACATTCAGAAGCCGCATGGCGACTGGCCGCTTTCACGGGAATCATATCTTGAGGATGAGACAGGTTGAAGAGCTGAGGTGCGGCTTTCACGAGGCTGGAGTCCAGCCCCGAGCCTTACGCCTCTCCCGCCACTATGCATAGACGGGACCAGATTGACCAATAAGGCAAGGCTTGCCCTCGACACGCGACTCGCGTCTCGGTGGTTTGTATACTGATGTTCAAGAACAATCGACCGCGAATGCAAGAACGATATGGCAGTGTTTGCATGCTCGCTCGGATCTTACACAAATGGTTTGGTGGCAAGCAGGGGTGACTGAATCCCAGGACCTGCACGCTCCGCTTGAACATGCTCACTGACATGACACGAAATCACTGATAACTGCAAAGTCACTGGTGTGCCGAGATCCTGCCGTACTTTGCGCGAGTGAAAGATTTGTTGTTCAACATGACAATCGTGTTGCTGTGTTAGGAGTTTGAACGATCTGTCCAGGGCTGGCAACCGCCGTCCTTGCCTCATGCATGTACTTGAGCGAAGAATGGCAATCGCAATTAAGCTTGCAAGGCGGGAAGTTGGGTGGCCAGTTCCTAGCTTATATCCCAAAGGACTGGAGACAGTCAGTGTCGCTCGCCGCATAAGCGCCGAAGCAAATTGGAGAACCAGAAGAGCTCAACTAAGAGCACTCAAAGCTATCTCCTCCTCCTTCAATCCCGCCAATCTCACACTCCCTTCCCACAATCGCCTCTGTTTCTCTTCATCTCTCGCTTTATCAGCAGGCTGGCTGACAGCAGAGCCATCCAGATACAGCGCTTTCGGATGTCTTCCAATCTCCGCCTCGTCGAAAGCCGCACGAAGAAGATCGCCTCCAGATTTGTACGGCGAGCGAAGCATTCCATTCGGACTGAACCAATTGACGACCTGAGTGATGGGCGGCACGAGGTAGTTCATCATCACTCGAATCAAGAGGCTTCCGCTTCGCACAAGGCCTGTGCCGCCCATTGTTCCCGGATCGAGAGCTAAGATTGAGATGCCAGAGAGCTTGGGATCTTGATCAAGTCGTCGCTGCAGTTCGTACCTAGATGCCATGCATTAGAACATTTCTCCGATTGCGTTACCTTGGAAGCGGCACTCTCTCCCCGAAGTCAACCTACATCAACATGACCAATAGCATCTTACTCATCGAATAGCGCCTCACGCCCGCAGTCGCCTCATCGCCCGGCGTATCTGGCTCTGGGTGCGCAAGGATCTCGGTATTCCTGAACACAGTCTTATGGTCCTCTTTGGACACATAACTCTTGCCATACGCACTGTAGGGATCATGAGCGGCGCTCGAAGTCACAACCATGCGTCCAGAATCTTTGTCCATTGAACCCAGGAGTAGTAGAACGAGAAGGAAATGAGCCAGGTAGTTTGCGCCGAAGTTCATCTCGAAACCATCGACGGAGAATTTCTGTCCAGTTGCCTGCCATACGGTTGCATTGATGAGGATGGCGCGGATTGGAGGCAAAGCGCCCGAAGCGACGCGCGACTTGACAGATTCGGCGAATTTGCGGACGTTATCGAGCGAGGATAAATCCAACTGTTCGAGCGCGTACTGGTGTGCAGCTGGAGCAGAGTCCAGCAGTTGGACTAGATCTGGGCAGGATGAGGGGTCGCGAGTCGTGTAGAGGCCGAATGATTGCTTGCAGTGGGTAGAGTTGAAGAGTTGCTGTATGAAGCCACGACTCAACCCGCCGCTGGCGCCAGTGAGGAGAATTGTCCCTTTTTGTTGTGGCATGGCTACTGGTAGTATTTTAACTGGAGGAGAGGAGATACGAGAGTCCGCACCGAGAAGTCTGCGATCAAGTAGCACTATATACAAGCCGTGCGGTGAAACTTGCCATATGAACTAGATCAGGGTTGCAAACTTGGTGGCGATGGGTGCACGGCGTAGGTGAGCTGCCCGATGGCCGTGTCCGCTCGTGCATAAGAGCGCAATGAGAGATAAATTGGGAAGGCTGCGGAGTGGTAGATGGATGCTTTCCACGCCTCTACGAGCATAGACCATCGATGGCCAAACTGTAACTCAAGCTTTCCTGCAAGGTTTGCATAAAACCCGTTTGCCAAGTGGTCGAGATGTTGCGAGCGGGCGATAAGTCCTAAGTCCGAAAGCCAGTTCTTGACACTCAAATTGAAGGGAGACGGCATCGAACGGTGAGATGATATGGAAGTATTGCAAGGTCATGATGCCGAGAGACGACGCTGTACGGCAATCGCGATGCGTAGTCGAAAGGGTGAGAGGATGTGGAGCCGTCGCTGAAGAGCCTCCGCTAATCAACGACACATGATTGGTTGATCTCGCGACATCCATTGGCACGCTCAACACAGAGCAACAATTGACTTTTTCCCACCGTCATCCCGTCCTCGAGCTCAAAAAGCGGAGCGAGCGCACGAGGACAGCGAGGTCGTGACCAGAAACAGAGGAGGAACTTCCCCTCCACCGAATACCACAAGCATCCGCCAAAATGACCAACATCCCGCTCACGTGGAACGAAGCCCTCAGCGGCATCTCAGGCAGCGTCTCGCTCGCCGCCTGGATCTTCCTGCTCGTACCGCAGCTAGCGGAGAACTACAACAACGGACACGCCGACGGCGTCTCGCTGACCTTCCTCTTCATCTGGTTCTTCGGCGACATCACCAACTTCGCCGGTGCAATCTGGGCCGGACTCGTGCCGACCGTCATTGCGCTGGCCGTGTACTTCTGCTTCCTCGACCTGATCCTCATTTCGCAATGTTTATACTACCTGGGCATGAAGAAGAGGAGGGCGAAAGAAAATGGGGACAAACTTGTCGCTGGAGGCAATGCAGTCATGCAGCGGGCTGAGAGCAGTGAGACCACGCCGCTGCTGAACGGGAACAATGTGGCTGCTGCGAATGGCAACAAGAGCCTGCAGAGCTCGCCGACAACGAGGAGGAGGTTGACGGATGTGACGGATGAGAATTTGGGTCTCCCAGGCTCACGGAGGTCGAGCAGTGCTATGCAGCGACAGCGGACGAATACCAATGAGCGCCTGGACGGTCTGTCCAAGATTCTGGAGGAGCCAACAACGGGAAAGACGTGGTTGAAGAATAGCTTATCTATTGTGCTCATCCTTGCTGCCGGCGCAGGAGGCTGGGCCATCGCTTGGAGAGCAGGTGTATGGCAACCCACACCACTCGGCGAAGAAGGAAGCGACGAACATACTCCCATTGGCGCGGAGATCCTAGGCTACATCAGCGCGGTGGCATACTTGGGCGCACGCATTCCTCAGATCATCAAGAACCAGCGCGAGCGAAGCTGTGAGGGACTCAGTCTCCTCTTCTTCATGCTTAGTCTGCTTGGTAACTTCTCATATGGTGCGGGAGTGAGTATCCCAGCTACTTTCTATCTCAAGCTGTTCGTACTAACCATTTCCAGATCCTGTTCCACTCCATCGAGAAGAAGTACATCATCAAGAACCTGCCCTGGCTTCTCGGCTCGCTTGGTACCATGTTCGAGGATGCGGTCATCTTCGTGCAATTTCACACCTTTGGTGAGAAGAAGGAGTCCAGTGAAGCGGTCGTGTGAGAAGCTCGCACAACCATGGAGATGGCCGTGCCCTCGACCATGCACAGTTCAATAGCACGCCGAGCCGCCTCGCTGTTTCCCTACGAAATATTGAAACTTGGTGCTGGTTCTTGTTCGCGATGCTGGCCAGCGTACATCACCACGAAGGCTTGTTCACGTCCGCTGATTGCACACATCGATTCCGGACAACGGTGAATACACGGGCAGCGATTTCCATGGCAGAAGTCCGAAGCGACTGAAGCAGTGCGCTCTTCTCATTGGATCTGGCGTCGACGACGGGAGGCGATTCTGTCTCAGACAAGTCTCGACTGCGCAGCCCTGTGTAGGCTGAAAACAACGTGGGTCTCTGGAGAACACTGGAGAACAAAGTGCTTTCTGGCGACTGCCATAAGCCGGAATTTCGGCCTTCGAGGGCCACTACAATGGCGCGTTACTCCCGAAAGCAACCCAGCGTGACTACGCACACTCAATCACTCACAGCAGCGGACCTGAAGCGCGCGTTGGCTACAAGATGGACGCTCTTCTCTGCGTGCAGGCCGAGCTTTGTCAACAGAAACCTCCAAAACCGAAACCAAGATGACGTGGAACACCAACACACCCAGGGGTCTCGCAGACACGACGGCTCACATCAAACCACTGATCCGCTCTGTCAGTTCTCTGGCCTTCAGGTCCAAGAAAGCGGGCGACGTGATCCATCCCACGACCGATGCGGCCGCAGTGAAAGCCTACGGCGCCGTCGATGCTCTATTTGACTGCCTGGATCAGATCGACATGAATCTCGACCTTAGGGACAACACGAACATCCCTCGAGCACTGGAAGTCCTCTTCGCGTGCGGAGAGTACTACTTTCCAGATCACTACAAGGCCCGCGCCAAGGCATTGTTCGACAGATTCGAGGCTATGCACTGGGGCGGTGTCGCAGCCAACGATGCGGATGCCTCGAATGCGAGCGCGCCTTCTGAGCCGCAGATCCTCATGCCGCCTCGAGATCATCAAATCTGGGGCGACAAAGGCATCATGACAGGGCTCGCCTATCACAAGCTTCCGAGTGGAAAATTGTCCATTCTTGCAATACCTGGTTCAGCTCGCTCCGCCAAGGTGTACGGAGACAACAACCTCACCGTGGGGCAATGGTTCCCATCTCTGATGGCAGCATTCGTGGCAGGAGCTCATGGCCACAATCAGAAAGGCATACACTATCCTAGTGCAGAAGATCCCGCCTACTCAGTGGTCATTTCTGGCCCCGAGTACCTCGAAGTTAACGACGACAGATGGGATGTCGTCTTCTACTGCGGCACTGGCAGCCACGAGAACAAAGATCCAGAGAAGATCATTGAAGCGGACGGCACTCAAGCGCTCGAAGCTTCCATCGCATCCGGTCAACCCGTTCGCGTCCTCCGTACATCTGAAGCCAGAAGCTCCAGGCCGGTATGTGGCGTTCGCCACGATGGACTATACGATGTCAAGGGCAGTTTCTTTCGATACAACAAACACGGCGGCCGTTACCTCGCGTTCGAGCTTCGTCGTCGCCCAGGCCAGCGCAGCCGTGACGAGTGTCTGCATATACCAAATGTCCAGCAGCAGACGCAGTTCAAGAAGATCGAAGAAGGATATCAATACCAAGGGAGATTGTACGGCAGTACTACATGGGAGAAGTGAAGCTGATCGGTACTTGAGTGAGTGCCGGCTGCCTGCAAGGCCTGATACATCATCCTTGCTTACGGAGATGCCTGTCAGACAATCATAACAACGAAACAACAACTACCACATGCGAATTTGGGATATCATTGGCAATGGTATGGCAGGTGCAGCTTGCGCAAGCTGGAACAGCAGCCATGACGACGATGACACAGCAATGAAAGGCACCAGCGTAAGAAGACTCAGGAAACGGGACGGAAGGGAACATCGCGCCGCGTGAGGATATCGCATCTGACTTGGCAGCAGCAGACGTTGGACAGGTATATCGACACTAGCATCGGACTACATTCCACTGGCGTCCGCGTTTGCTGCCTGCAATATCCGCGCCCTCCCGGGACTCACTACTGGGGCCTGGGCATAGAGTAGAAGAATCGATTCGAACAGTCCGATCAATTAACCATGTATCACTCCATTCACCTTGCGGTTGGCGAGCAGAGAGGCGACAAATTCTTCTTGCCCAGCCAGCTCATAGGCATCATCTTAGCATCCTTTTCATCGCCACTCCAATCCCTCAGCATCGTTTTCACTGCGACTGACTACAACGCCTTACACTAACTTGAGACCTGCAGAAGCACCTAAGAGAGCTTATCCTTCGTATCCTACTATTCCAGGAGAAACAGCCATTTCCTTCCACAAACCAACTCGCACGCTACGAGTGTCCGACAAAAACTAGCTCGCCTGCAACTTGTCCTCGATGCGACATTAGGGCAAAGTCAAGGACCTGTTTGTATTAGTCATGAGCTTGTAAGCTCACTATAGTGTACAAGCCCTGCAACTTGCTTGACGCTGAGAGATTTAACGGCCTAGGGAGAGTGTAGTGCTTACTTCGATCCACGGACCGTAATTCACACGTGAAGAAATCCGGCGTTCTGCCGTGGAGCAGGGTGGCGGACTAGCTTGGCTTGTGGTCTAGAGGGAAGAAAGGGAATGGATCGAGAACGATATAAAGGAAGGTCGTTGAACGGTAGCTTTGGGACTCTCTTCCACAAAGAACAAATCCAACACAACACACACTCATTTAGCACTGGTTGCTTTCGACATTCACTCTTCCTATCCTAACAACAAATACAACTGCAACAACAACACCACCACCACCAAAATGCACTTCTCCGCCCTCACAGCCTTCGTGGCCCTCGCAGCCGCCAGCCCATTGGCCCTCCCCCAAAACGCCGGCAGCGGCGGCAACACCCGCTCCAACAGCTGCGACGTAACCTCCGAACCAAAGGCCGTCCGCGGCAGCGGTCCCGTCCCCGTTCTCGACGACTGCAACAAAATGCGCGACCAAATCCAAAACAAAGAAGAATCCTGGACAATCACCGGCCCAGCCGAACTCGGAAAATTCGGCACGTGCCGCTTCGTCGTGACAACCGTGACAGGCGGCGACAAAGCGTTCGTTGGTGTGAGCGATGTGAAGGATCTCATTGGTACTGCTGTTCACTCTTGGACGCAGGCGCTGCAGGATGGAAGTGCGGGTCCGACATCATACCAGGGAACGATTACGCAGCAGGTTGGTGTGGAGGCCAATGTGCCTTGCGATAGCGCTTCAGCTTCGGGTGCGAGGCAGGTGACGATTAAGTGGTCGATTGAGCACTCGAAGTAAGAGGTTTGCTTCCATGGGGAGGAGGATGGAGGAAGGAAGTGTTTTGGCAGTTGGTGTCGAGCTTGTGACAAGCAAGTTGTATTCCCGAGTTCCTTTTTCGAAATGTGTGCATTAGTCGTGTACAACAGCAGATGTCGAACGACAAAAATGTCAATGGTGCATTCGACGACAGCCTTGCATGATCCAGTCCAGAGCTTTGGGAACACATTGAAAGTGACCGCGATGTTTTGTAGACCTCGCTCTGGCTCCGAGATGGACAGAACATTCGGTGCAGACAAGGCCAGTGCCAGACTGCCACTGCGCAACTGGCTGGGTCGCATTAGCCGGAGTTCCAGTTTCTGATGTCGAAGATCGACAGCAAATTCTTGAAGAGGGCAAAATCGCCGGAATGCTTTTCAGCAAGCCCGTGACTGCTGAACCGGAAGCCACAGATGGCAAGCGTCCAACAGCGGAGAGCGTCAGTCTGGCGGTTGGCCTGAGCCGAGAATATCTGAGTGGCGTTCCCGAGCTGCTTAAGAGTAGCATTGGCGCGCTTCACAGCGTCCATTGTTCGTCGTCCTGCTAGCTCGACTTGATCGCCAGCCGGTCGTTCTTTCGTGAAGCTTTTATGCTTGGTGAGCTGAGTCACAGTATCGAGAGCTCCGTCTTCGTATTATGGCGTATGCCCATCAAGCTGTCCTCAGTTCCGGTAGCAGGTGGGTGTTGGCGGATCGTCAACGCAGATCTCAAATAGAGACATGGTCCCCAAGCTGTTCAATGCCCAGAGCGCTATTGATCGGTTCAATGTTGGTTCTTTCCCAATCATTGGTGCTATTGCATTTTGCGTACAGCGTGGAAGGCATGCGGGAACTGTAGCGAAGCCATGCCGGCCTTACGACATCGCAATCTTCGCCAGACACGAATGTTGGTCGAGGCCGTGGTTTTGTGCAAGCCGCGAGTGAGCGATTGCGTCCCGGAAGAACCCAGAGTTTCAAGCGTCGACTCCATTGAAGTAATCAAAAAAGCCTGATATCCGTGCCTTGGAGACGTGCCAGGCCATGAGCGAAGCGTCCTGGGGTTCTTTGAAATTGATGCTGTTCAGAAACCTCGGAGTGGCGAGCGCGGCAGGAAGGCCCATCTCGTAACTTGTATAAAAATCAGCACGGCTTATTCTTTCTTGCTTGGCAGTTCACGCTCACCAGTGAGCCACGAGACTTTGGAAGTCCGGATCGGTCATGGCATGTGTGACTTTGTTTGCAGCGAAGTGCTCTGCTCCAATCTCATCAAGCCAGCCATCAGCGGCCAGCGTTTGCATGATGCTGTCTGATCGGATGTTAGCTCCATAAAGTGCCATTGAGACGTCGAGGTCAATACCAAGTAGATTGGCTTCCACGCCTGTGACCGCCGCAAGTTCCGATGTAAGAGCATGATGGGTCCTGGCCAGGTGACCAAAGAGGTCAATGTCCGCAGCAATCGCAAAAGCGCAGAGTCTGTGTGCCTAAAAGCTCACTATCAGAAACATTCTGAGGATCTGGTCTAGTGCTGACTGACATCCGCGCGCATCGCCCTCGACGCTTCTTTTGTTCGGCGACGTTTGATCGGGTATTCGGTGGAGTCGATACTGTCCGCCGGCTCGAAACGGATAGGCATTGATTGAAATCGTTCGCGCTGGAGTGCTCGAAGATGGTCTGAATGCAGCTCGTGAGTAGTCATTTCGGAAGAGACGTTGGAGAAGAAGTGAGACGGCAACGACGCAGACAGTAATAGAAGCCAGAGGCCAGGTCTTAACTTTTCGGATGCTGTCGCATGTCGGTTCCGCTGAGGCAGCAGAAGGTTGCCCCGCCAGCGGTCTCGACCGCCAGCGCAGAGGCCGAAACGTGGACAGCTATGTTGCTCGGCGCAGAGCCAGATCTTGGAAGTTGAGGCTCATCGGACACCCTGTCCACGGAAGCTGGCTTGGCCAATCACATTGGAATTGCTGCTCATCTTGAGTCAGCATCACAGGCCACAATTCTGAACCTAGCACCAGTCCAGGCTGGTTCGGATTATTGATCAGAGGTCTCGACTGCTACACGGTGGGGTCTGATTCCGAGCCGGTATCGCGATGCTGAGTGTTGCTTCTTTCGCGCATGGAACAGCAGCATCTGGAGCGGATGGCACTCGAGCGCTCATCTTGGCTCGAACCATACAAGCAGCTTCGGAACTGTCTCGTCCAAGCACCTGAAGCTCAAACAGACTTGTCCGACGAAAGACGTCGCGATGCAAACGTGCAGCACTTCGCGATCGCGGCGTGGAGAGCTGCAAGGAAGCGCATGTAGGAGCTGGGGCGAGAAGCGAGCCGCCGAGAGTGTTCCCGGCAGATCGGAAATGGCACTCATCCGTCTGATGATGAGCATGTGCGGACCAGCGAGTAGAGGTGAACTCCATGTGTAATTTCGAAATGAGAAGGTGATGGGAGATCGCCAGCAAGAAGTGTGGTTGTGGTTGTCGTTCTCGGCATGACTTTCGCCGATGGATAATTTTAGTTAGCCGAGGCAGCTCCAAGCGAGCAACTCTCTGCATCCTTCGCCAGAACGTGCCTCGAGCGTGCCTCCCTTCCGCCGCCCCAGATCTGCTCGCAGAAGGATCATTTGTGCAGCAGCCGCGAATCAGGCCTCCCATTTGGCAAGATCTGCCCTCGCGTGTCGCGCTCTGTCCGCCATGTCCTGAGGCTGACGACCGACGCGACGTCCATCAGCAACGGACGTCCATCTTTCCACCGGTGAGGGCGTGTATCCACTCGCTGCACGTCGGCGGCGTGAAGGGTCGGCGCACGTCGCCTAGCGCGCCACATCCAGGGCTGAGTAAGGGCCATGTCCGGTGACGAGATTCTCGTCGCGCATCTCCTCCGCGACATCTGCCTCCTCCGCGCGATGAGCGCTCCGCCATGGACATGCAATGACCGGAAGCGCCGGCGGCATGCAGACTCCTCCCGACAGCGACTGGGAGGTGCGGCGGGAGGATGCCGATGACGACAGCGACGAGTGGGTTCGTGCCGGACGCAAGCAACGGCGCCACCTCGAATCCTCCAAGCATGTGGCCGCTGCTGCGTGGAAAGACAAGCAAATCGTGCGACGGCAAAGGCGCAACCTCCGACAACAGCCTCCCTTGACTCCAGACAGCGGCAGCGATGTCGGGCTGTTGGTGTACAAACCGACTTCTTCCACGACGCGCTTGCGGACGGAGCTCGTCGACATGATGGTCCGGACGCATCGCAGCGAGATCTGGTACGATTTGGTGCCCGCACGCATCGGCCACAGCGATGCTATCGATTCCGCCGCCAAAGCGCTGGTCAAGGCCTCAGACTTTGCTCAGAAGCGCACCAATGTCACCGAAGAGAGCTGCCTGAGTAGCTACAATCGTGCTCTCGCTGCGGTACGCGATGGCATGATCAAGTCGTCCTCCGGCGACGACCTCCTGTGTGCTGTTGCATTACTGGTCAACTTCGAGCGTTTGTTCTCCGGCTGGACCTCCGCGCCGATGAGATCGCACATGCATGGCATCATGGCAATCTTCATGGCCCAGGCCAAAGGGTCCCAACAAAAGCCACCTTCAGAGTTGACACGCACGCTGGTATACGTATTCTGGGCAGTAGGCTTCATCGGACCCTGCGTGATGGGCATCCCGTCTCCCCTGGAGATCCCGCGGTACTTGGACATGGAACCGGTGCTGTTTGCCAAGGACCGCATGTCGTGTCCCTCGCACGTGGTCGCGCGATTGAGGAAGTTGGGCAACCAGCACTTTATCCGACTGCCGCGCTTGATCACTCTGATGAAGGGCGTACAAGTAGAGCAGAAGCTAATGAACATTGAGCCTGCGCTTAATCTCGCGAAGGAACTTCTGGACCTGCAGGACGAGGACGCAGAGACGGAGTTGCTCCACCATGTCACTGTTCAAAAGACAGAAGAGGCAGAGGGAGTCGAAACGATGACGTATCTGATGAAGTTCAACACGATGCCGGAGTTCGAAGCAGCCATGCATTATTGGTCCACTCGCATGTTCCTGTTCCGATTGTGCTGGCGAATGAGTCGACTGTTCGCAAGCAAGTACCAGGCACGGGACATGTGGTCCAAAGAGAAGCTAGAATCGCAGATCTCCAGAATGGGCGCTAATGTCCTCATGGCCGCGCCTTGGGGACTGGGAAAAGGTGAGACGGGTCGTAGCTGTTGTGTGCTTGACTTGGTAGCAGTGTGGGGTGCATTGAATGACTTTGATGTCTTCGCGGCGCGGAAGATGACACCAGCGAAGGCGCGATCGCTGCTGCTGTATGCTGGAAAGCAAGTCATGTCGTTGTCAGGTCCAACGGCAGACGCCGAGTGTGGAGAACGGTTGAGTGCTGCGGCCGAGTTGTTTGTTGGAGGTCAGAGCAAGGGCATTCTGGCTTTCACCTTTTCAAAATCTTCGGGCTGAATGTGAAGGACTGGTGGCCGAAATCTATTTCGCTTTCTCAGCGTTTGCATGAGGAATTTCGCTTGCAGAACGCCTTGCCTCTGTGCCCGACTGCTGGTCCATGGACCCAGTCGCCGGAAATATGTATCCTGGTTTGCATGGAGCGGCGCATGGCATGATATCTGGAACAAATTCCTCGGAAGAGTCGATCAGGTCCTCACCACACATTGTGGAACAAAGTACGTGTCGGTTGAGCCGAGCGAAAGCCAGAGCGACCAAGATCATCAATGTCGCTACCATGATGAGGATCCGTTCCCCTCTGCCCGGGGAGGCCGCCATTGGAACAGTGCAGACTCGCACACCATGCCAACTTGAACTGCATTCCGTCAATTGAGTGCATGTGGTGCATGTGGTGAGGGGGTACAAGATATAGATAGATGGCAGCACCTTCGTTGCCGCGTTCATTGCACAGGTCTCTGGTGGAGCATCTTCAGCTATCTATCCACCGATTCGTTACCGTTGATGCATCGTCGCTGCCTCCCCTTACCCAGCTTGGATCTGGTAAGGTACGGAACGTGCCTAGCGCCGCCCGCCAATTACCAAAGCTCGAAATTCTCGTCCAAGCTCCAACCACACAGCTTCACATCAGCATTGCACTTTGAGGTACAGACAGAACGCCGTGCAACAGTACAAAGTCTCAATCTACTGGGCAGAGATCTTCGGTGACGCTCCAAACTCACAAGGTTGCCCGCCATGGCCACCGCCAACCATGGCCACACAATCCACATGACTCAAGCAGAATCCGATAAAATCCGGGAAACAGTCCAGACAAGATTAAAGAAATGCAAAGATCTTCATGGCCAACCACGAACTCCTCGAGAAGCAAAAGCTGCCGTCAGCGAAGCAAAGCAAGCAGGTCTCATGGCAGATATGTCCGGGACTGTCGAGCCAGGCATGTCAGTATATTCAGGACGAGAGAACATTGTCGCATTGGCTGTTGGATCGCCGTTTCCTCCTTGTACAACTCCACTTTCGGAGTTGAAGCCTATGCCGTTGGCGGAGTTGCAGATCGATACGCATCATCGCGGCCGAGTATTGAATGTCAAGCGTACTGGGCCTGTTGTGCCACTGGTGGCATATTCATGGACCGTTGTTGAAGATGATGCAGGACATGTGGAGCGGCTGGAAGTGTATCTTCACAAGTCAAAACGAGGCGAGGATTTGCTGGAGTCCACGCGAGAGTTTCGGATCAAGGAGCCTTATTTCACGATCAACGAGCAAGGTGAGGCGACGATTCGTGTGCAACATCCTTCGGACTTTGTGCGTGTCAAGGACACCGAATTTGCGAAGACTGCAGAGAAGTGCAAAGACAAGGGGAATGCAGCGTTGAAAAGGAAGGAATTCGTGGAGGCAGCCGATCATTATGCTGAAGGTTTGCGGTTATGTGAGGAGGATGCGGAGGCGACGGAACAGTTCAGCTACGATCTTCATCGAAATCGAGCTCATGTCAGCTTGATCTTGAATCGATGGGACGAAGCGAAAGCGGACGGGATTGCGGCCATCACAGGGCGGACAGACGACAAATCAAAATCACTGGACAGCAAGGCCAACTTTCGTGCGGGCAGTGCTGCTTATGCACTTGGACAATTTGACGAGGCGAAGAAGTTATTCGAGACTGCCTTAAGTCTCGCTCCGGAGGACAAGGAAGCCAAGATATATCTACGCAACATCGATATAAGACTCCAGGAGCAACAGGCAGGTGGGTATGACTTTGCGAAGATTCGGTCGAGAATATCGCCAGCCAAGTCAAGAGTAGATGCCGCCTCTTTCTCAAACAACACCAGTGCACGAGACAGCTCCCTTGGTGGCCGAGGACTCTTCGCAACGAAGGACATCGAAGCTGGCGAAATCGCTCTCTGCGAGAAGGCGTTCTGTGTAGTATGGTCGCACGAAGCAGAAGCCTGGTCAGCGATGACTTACGACGCACGAGACGACAAGATTCGTGTTTTCCCAGCCGGCATGACACAAGTACTCGTGCAAAAACTGCTCAACAATCCATCACAGATCGAGCGTCTCATGAGCCTCTTCGGCGATTACAAGAGCATCGGCAACGAGGTCATCTCCACCGAAGATGGACCTGTGGTCGATACATTCCAGATACACGACATTGTCTGCCGCAACGCGTTCGGCCCAGGTGCCATATCATCGGGCGGCAACTATGGTCAGGAAGATGTCCGGACAGCAAGCACGGGACTCTGGATCACAGCAGCATATGTCAATCACTCATGCGTATCCAATGCTGCGAAGGAGTATGTCGGCGACTTGATGATCTTAAGGGCAACGAGAGACATCAAGGAGGGAGAAGAAATCACACACACATACAGCGATGTCCCTGACTATGACTCTCGTGCTGCAGTCCTGCAAACAACATGGGGCTTCGAATGCCAATGCGCCTTATGCGAAGCGGAACGCACAGATGGGAAAGAGATCAGAGACAAACGACAAGAACTGATGGGCGAAGTAGCCGCATTTATGGAGAGGGAGAGTAGTCCCAAAACAGCAAAGCGATTGACTGTCGTCAAGGCAGAGAAGCTCGTCAAAAATTTGGACGCCACCTACGATGCGAAGAAGTGGGAGGGACTCCCGAGGAGGGCGGTGGAAGGGATTCGGGCATGGGTGCAGGAGGCGAAGAAGGGGATGAGGTGATCGAGCGCGTTTGACAAAAGAGGTTGCTGCTCACAGTCACGCACCGAACAGTAATCACACCGAAAAAGCAGTGAAGTGTGGCTGAAATGTCTGCCAAGCTCTTGACACCCCCCTCCGAATGCTCCGTATGATCTCGATGCTTGCCTGTTGTGCCGCTCCTACTGCTTACGCATCATGTTCCGGTGAAAGGAGTTCCGTATAACATCATCAATTTTATTCAGTCTATTCACCACCGTGAATGCATGACTCTCAATTCATCAACAATAGCATCATTCCACAATACCAAACCACAATACCACGAAGTTTGCAGAATAGGAGAGAACGTCGTCGGTATTGTGTGGAGGAATAGAGTTTGAATTGTCGCCCGCCGTGCTCGTGGCTGAAGGGCCGTGCGTCACGCCATTGTGGAGATTGACCATTGTCCCTGCCGTAGCCTATTCACCTTGAACCTTCGACACACTTCTGTCTCACTTGCCCAAACATTTGTCTCCGCTGTCCGTATCATCCGCACCACACCCCTGCCTGGACACCGCTGAACACCGCCGGCTGGAGCTCGACATTTCTCCGGGAGACGCGACAAACATATTACGCCGACTGCGACGCGGCTTGAGCTGACCGCGACCGCGACACAACACATTACGCGACACGAACGAACATACTCCGAAATCATGGTTCGCACGCGCCATTCCCTCGCTGCGCCCGACGAGGACGACTTGGAGCTCGGGCTGGAGAATGGAGAGAAACCGAAATGGATGAAGGAACTACAAATTGATGGGAAAGAGACGTTGAAGGGCGAGAAGAAGGCTGATCGGGGTATGGGAGTTTACACGTGGCGCGGAGCAGTGTATGCGATTGATGAGAATACGCCCAAGGAATGGATTGAGGCGGAAGCGAATCGGCAGAGGAGGTCGGAGAAGAAGGAGAAGGAGAGGCAGAAGAGTCAGACGCCTGTCACGAATACTGCGAACGTGCCGCGATTTTCGAATTTGAAGCCGAAGGTGCAGCAGCAGCAGCAGGACTCTATGACGATGCAGCTGGAGGAGCAATCCGAGACACAGGCGCGAACGAGCAATACCAAGAAGCGAGCGAGAGAAGAGGGGTCTGCTGCAGAGGAGGCGACGAGAGTGATCAAGAAGCCGCGCAAGGCCTTGAACAGCCTCAAGGACAAGCCCGCGCAGCCTCAGCGGCACTATCTCTTTCCGTCTCTGAATGCGCAGCCCAAGAAGAAGAAGATGAAGCCCAAGTCAGATACCCCGCGCTTCGAATCGAGTGTCAGTGCCAGCCAGAAGACTCGAGAAGAGGTGGAGCAGAGCAGGAAGGAGGCGAAAGGCAGAGGATTCGATGTCGATATGCTGTCCGAGTCCGGTCTCTCATTACCACCCAATACCAATCCGCCATCCGAGGTGCAAACCACAATGCCGACGCCGCCCTCGCAAATCCTGGAGATGCCCAAATCATTCACGATGCCCTTCTCCGACCAAGACAAGCAGACTCTGGGCAGAATAGTCTGCAACATCACCGAGCCTGAGGCCAACCAACTTGCCGCCACCATCGTCGAAATAGGCAAGATAAATCAACGAGCACAGGCACTCCAACACGACTCCGAAGGCCTGCTCGAGCACATGACTCGGGTCAAGGAGCGCATGTTGGCACGGAGGGTGGGCGGGAGCCTGGAGAAGCAGGATCGACATCACCACCACCACGATTCGCCGATGATGGGCGCAGCCCAGGAGATGACTCCTCCCGCCGAGGATCCTCCCACCCACACCGCCGCCACCACTGCCAACAGCATCCGCCTTCCCTCGCTCTTCCACGACGACGCTCCCTCAGAGCACACCCTCTCCTCACCAGCCCCGCACCACGATCTCTACTCCCTCATTCTCCCTCCCATCAATCGTGGCGGTCAGCAGCAGCGATGGAGTCTCGACAGTGAGAAACTCCACCAGCACCAGCAGCAGCAACAGCAACAGTCTCTGCCCTCGCTGACGCAGCACCGCCACGATGATGACCGCGCCGAATCGTTGATCTACCGCGGCCGGTTCGAGGGAGAGAGTCAGAGTGCCAGGCGCCGCCGCATCGATCGAGAAGTGAAGATTCTGGAGAGTTTGCCGCGCTTACTCGATCGTATGCCGGATGCTTCTGCGGGAGCGAAGAAGGCGGCGGCGCCGGGAAAGGGTGGGCTGGGGTTCTGAGGGGAGAGCAGGAGGTGGAGCGATAGGGTGGTTTGGGAATTGATGAATTATGATAGAATGAATTGAAATGAAATGATGATATGGTTCTCTTGTGCTTTTACTTCTCGTCGTGTGTTTTGGTTGCCGTGCTTTCACTTTGAAGACGGGTTTCTCTGGTATGAGATCCCTTTCAAAGCGCACAGGCGAAAACAACCCGAGGACAAGGGATCGGCCGGTGAAGCAGAGAAGAAGATCGCTGACGAGTTTTTCTGAATTGGCAAGACTGTCGGTGCTACCTGATAGGGAAATGACGGGCGAGAGGAAGGTTCGTGCTGCTAGCGGAGCAGGGAGACATCTTTCCTTTCCAGACCCCATAAAGCACAACCAGAGAGACGTCCTCACCTCCGTACCCCCTAGCATCAAGACTCTGTACTTCAGTACCAGGCAAGTCGCAGAGGATGTAGCATTCAAGAAGTGACGAGATCGAGTGGGCCAGTAGGAGGAGATATATTCGGCGCGAGCGCGAAGAGTGGAGACGACATAATGCAGCTTAATGGGGGGCCCATACACACAGCAGGCTCGAAATCGGCGAACGAGAGGGAGGTTCGTGCTGCGAGTGAAGACTCACAACGTTCTTTTTCTGACCATTCTTGCAGAGCCGTGCCGTGGGGAAGAAAACGCCTAGCTTGAAGGAACGACTACCTTTTCAGAGATGTTGTTGCCTTCCTCCTTCACGACACCAAGATCACGGCGACAACACGTCGCAACTCTGCCAATCTCCGCCGCACAGAGCTGTTGCCAGGAAAGCCACAAGACTTTCGTATGGGAGTGGAGACAGAGGATCGCTTCCTCCTCCAAGAGCTGCGCGAGCGGTGGCCCGCTCTCCCACGCCTACTACCAGAAAAGACTCCTGGGAAGCTCCCGCAGAGCTGCCTCGCCAAAGGGGTGTAAACGACCGTTAAGTTGAAGGACAGGCCACACATTGCATTCCGCCAACTAGGAGGTGGCGCTTCAGAAGATCCATGCGAGCATCCTGCCTACTTGGGTGTGATTGGCAAGCGTTCCAACATGAGCAAGCCTGTCTGGCATACAGATCGAGGACTTCAGGATATGATTTGTCTGGTCAGATGGCGAGGAGCCGCGGTCTCACGAGCGTCAGATGGTCCACAGCGCATTGAGTGAGGGTTGGGGACTTTGCTGATCACGGGTGGAGGAGCCCAAGTGGAAGAGGCGAACTGACATCTCCGTTCATGTGTTGACGAGTCTGCTGCCAGGAATACAGAAGTTCCAGAATCTCGCAAGTCTTCACGACGAGAAGCAGTCCGCTTTAAGATTTTGTGAGGCATGTTCGGCAATAATTCTCGAATCGACAGTGATATCTTATTCAACCCACAATCACAGCGCTACTACCTTTGGAAAACGATCTCAACTTCACATACGTCAACAATGAGAGACGAGCGCTGCCACTGTCGAGTCCCCCATTGCACCAAACCTTCTATCAAAGGACCCCGGGAACCTTAGACCGCATGGCGTCCAGATGAATGAAGCTACGAGACTGTGTTCTTCTTCATCACCTGAAGCACGATACGCCAATACGATGGCTCATCGCGAGGAACTGCATCCCTCCGTCGGGTGGAGTGGCAACGAATCACTCTCTCGCGGTCTCTGATGCTCGTTCGACCTTGAGAATCAGAGGATCCTCATCCATTCGCAAGTGAGCATTTGGTGGTCGACCCTGCTCTTAATGATGCTGATCTGCGTATACTGGGTCATTATGACTGTTCAATGTTGCTCTCACCGGCTTCTGTGCCCTTCGATCAGATGTCAGTAGCCAAGCATGTAGTTGTTATTGTTCCCGGATGCGGGCAGCTGTCCTTTTTGGCTCGGCAATCACCAGACCAACCAGTATGCTGGTGCAGTAAAGAACATCCTGTGAGTCCTGCGGAGAGCTACACTACCGGCACAGCAAAGCAAGTGCGACCACTGAGTAACGACTTCGTTAGGCAGTGGATGATGTCGAAATTCCTGTGCGACTAGCTACAACTTCACCATCCATCGGCATGCTTAGGGTCGTTCCGGTGCTGGTTACGAGGTCGTGACAAATGATTGAGGGACAAGGTCAACGGCTATTCCACATGTACCGAGATCCTGCCAGCGGTCTCACAGAAAAGAGAGCGGTCGGGGGGTTTTTGACGAAGTATATCTTCAGCATTTTCGGACCACATCTGGAGCAAGTCTCTCAAGAATCTACGGCAAGTCTTGTGAAGTATACGTAGCGAGAGTTTTGGCCAAGAACTCGCCGTGGCCTACTTTGCCCTCGGCCTTCGCGGAAAGGCGAAGCACCGATCTTTGCGTCGAGAACCTTGGCGTTCAGTGGTCCATGTGCTGTTGGCTGCGATAGGAGGTAGTACTTTCGTGCCATCTCGCCTTTCGCACATTCGGAATTGTCCGATCGTGTTCAAGGCTCCGGGCAACTCGCCGGCATCCCCTGCCATGGCTTCGTGCCTGCGCTCACGTCTTGCTCGTCTTCACAGTCCAGCCTCGCATGACGGCGATAGGACAGTCGAGTCAATGCAGAGTGCAGACAGACCGAGCTTCCTGTTGCATCGTAGTTCAACAACCTTACTTTGCGATGCGCAAACATCCTTGACAATATCGCGCATGCCACTCATCTCTAGAGACTGCTCAACTTTATACGACCTGAAGCAGTGGGTCGCAGCGGTGAATCTCAGACACTAGTGGAATGAATAGAACAGCTGCTTCGTTCTCCATACTCGAAGTTCGTGGCCATAAGGAGACCATGGGTCTTAGCTGAGTGTGGAGGCTACTAGGGTAGTCCCAGTAAAGCACACATCATCCGAGGAAAGTCAGGAACATCATCCATCGCCGGAAACTGAGCATCCGACATCAATCTGGCGGCATGCACAGTGAACTCCGAACATAAAAGTCCTCTGGTCGCTGCAGAACGACGTTACCGCTGCCAAGCATTGGAGCTCAGAATGGCACAAATACTCGGAGACTCGTCTTGCGCGATTGAAGCCAACATCAACTATTACAATGAGCCTCCTCCCGGCGAGAGACCCCCACCGGTGTTTGTAGGCACTGTTGGGGGCAGACGACAGAAATGGAACACTCAGCCTATGCGAGTGACGGACTTGCGAACTGTCGACAGTCACTTCACCATCCATGAGAATGGCTTCCAGTTCGTGAGCTTCCGTTCTATGGATGGTGCAAATTATGATTGTTTTGCTACCGACGAGGAGATCAAAGCAAAAGTCTATCCCGACGTAAAGGACACGCTTAAAAGAGTGTATGTACCTGAGACTGTCGCAGAGATACAAGGGGCTAAGATACATCACAGTGCGGGAGCTACCGATGTCTTCATCTTCAACCATATCGTCCGCAAAGATCCACATGTCGAAGCTAGTGAAATCAAAGAAGAAGTGCCAGACGAAGCTCAGGATCACTCGCAAGGTCCCGCTATGCTCGCACATGTGGATGTGTCCTATAAAGGCGCCCAATGCTTCCTGGACGAACTTCGCGTACCAGAAAGTGAAGAACTTCGAGCCAAGGCGCGAAAGCATAGATGGGGTATCATCAATCTTTGGAAGCCTCTCAAGACAGTCAATCGTGACCCGCTCGCTGTCTGCGATGCTAGCACGGTACCAGAATCAGACCTTCGACCTGTTGAATACATTATTCCAGCCAATGAAGAGCATAGTACTGAGCGGCGTGAGGTAGAGTTGTGGTACGTGGCGCATAATCCGAAGCATAGGTGGTACTGGCCTTCGAATATGCGGCCAGATGAGGCATTGTTGATCAAATGCTTTGACAGTCGAGAGCAAGGAGTGGCGAGAATGGCGCCTCATAGCGCCATCAAATTGCCGAATCAACACGGACCGCCAAGGGAGAGCATCGAGCTGAGATGTCTCGTCTTCTACAACGAAAGAGCGAGGCTTTGAGGCAGTTGTAGTGGCTATTCAGATGAAAGCGGACACTAGTCGGTGACCGTACAATCGGTTGGCAAGATACGAGCTCAAAGCCACTCTGGACTTCATTTTCAAAGTGGAGCATGCTTTAGTTGACTAGATTGGTAAATACGGGTAGTTCAGCTCTTCTATACCATTTCTGATAACATTTTCGCGTACGTAGCCTGGGTGTCGATCCTCAAAGCGATCCGTTGAGGATCACACCGAGGCTCTCATGTCCCTTTGCTACAGGTCTCAGAGGCTGCTCCTTATTGTTGCGTAGACATACTATTATCACCTCGCACCACTTCCTCTGTCTAGTCTAGTCATGCACGGATTCAACTCCGGTGAGCTGTGTGTAAGTTCACCCTGTCTCACAAGCGTACTCTTGCTAGCTGCCTCGACTCAATATATACTTGTACAAAGTCTCAAGTTGTGCGCGACGGCAGGAACCACTTGGTATATATCCTAGAGTTCACTGTTTGTTGAAACTCGATCTCAGTCAATATAGAAGGGTGCCCTAGAAATGTGGCCGATTCTCGCAGCCGTCGAGATGCGCCATATAGAGCAGAAGGTTCGTGTGGCAGCAGAGATTCTAAGGACTAGTGCAAAGGATACTCCGGCTTCCAGGGCCCAGGATTCTGCGACGGCGTCGTCGATTTAACCTGACCGACCGTAGGTTTGTGACGTGGCCGGCTTTCCCCATCCTTGTACTTGCTGTGCCCTCAGCTTACTACTTACTACGCAATGAAAATCAACGAGATTGAGACTTTGAGACAAAATATCGACTATTGAAATTTTTGGTCATCGCGTCGGAAACTCTCAGCTATCCTGCGCAACGTCCAACTCCGAGAATATCTACACCTTTGCAAGTTCTCCTTGGTCTATCAGTGCCTAGCAGGTGCAACGCCAACGGCAACGATGTCCTCATCTTCTCATATCTCCCAGAACCCGGACCTGCTAAATTTTGCCGGTGTCGGTGCCCTCTTTCCATTAACCTTGGGCACAATCTGCATCTTCTCGCCCTCGACCGGCTTCCGATTGTTCGGTTTCACCGAACCTGAAACACCTCAAGCCCGCAAACACGGTTGGAACATGATGCTCTGCTTTGGGTCACGGGACGTGATCTTTGGGCTTTCCGCTCTTGCAGCTTGGCATGAAGGAGCCGGAAGAGTCTTGGGATGGTTGTATCTCTGTGGAGCGTTGATGGCTGTCGCTGACGGTATTCACACGACGAGAGAGTTTGGTGGCGGCGCGTGGAAGAATATTGCATGGTGTCCGATCTTAGTGGCGATTGGTGGAGGTCTACTCGGGTGGTTTGATCAATCTTGAGGACGAGGAGCAGATCGAGATAGTCCTTGCTGTATGGTTATGGCTTCACTCTAGTCATGTATCGCCCAACCAAGGGGAATTGCTTCTTTCGGGCAAAACCCCACCTTACAGAGGATTTTACCTAAGCATACTGCTACGAATGTCGCGAGACCTGCAATCGTAGAGCCCTGGCTAACGGGATCTCGAGCAGACCCTTTGCAAGGGCAAGGCGAGCAGCAGGCGCCTATGCTTGCCTAGCGAGTTCGGACTGCGTCTATGCTGATCGATGGCGAATCGATCGATGCGCTGAGTCTGGCGTTCGCAATGACATCTGAACATCTCTCCGCATTAAAGGTCGCTCTGCACGAGGTCATACTATCAGCGATCCACTTGCTATATCATATAGGTCCTGAAATCCTTCACAAGACATAAATGCAAGCCAAGGGGCCAGAAAGAATCTAGACCACGTGGTGCCGTGGCCATGTGGCTCATGTACTGTAACTTCTCACGTCCGGATGCGTCTTCACCCTTCCCAGATAAATCATGGACAACGAAGCGCTTCTCGATCTCGTAGAAGATACTATCAACCCGTTGAACGATGCTGCAGTCTTCCTTAATAACAAGTACCAACGCCACGCCAGACATCGCAAGGCCAATAAGGTGCTCAGAGGGCTGATTTGCGAGTTGTACATACTAATCAGCAACCTTTCCGTGTTCCGCACAAACTGCAGTGCTGCTCACAAACACTTGCAAGGTTTGACCGGAAGTCTTCTTCAGCTTTGTACAGTATGTCAGCTACTACGAGCACGGCTATAGCCCACAAAATGACACTCACTGATCAATCAGTGGCATCATCTCGAGCCCGACAGAATTCCAACCCTTATCAATATCGCAGGACACTCAAATCAGAAATACGTGACCGATGCTCTGATTGCATTCGTTGATGCCACCTTCGATGCTCAATCAGCGCCATTCGCCAAACTTGAGGGCTCATTGAAGTTCGCAGCTAATGGAACATCAGGCATAGACGATCTCAAACTACAGGACAGTACACGCAGCGAAACTCTCGCCGTCAAGTGAGTGCGCGTCACACGTACACGATATGCTGTACAACGTCCTACGGAAGCACCTGCGTTGTGGTTACGGTCCATGTCCATGGTCGCATCAAGGAGGCCTGCGATTGACGAAGGATATTCACGTTGGAAGCGGTATGGTCCACTTCGATGCCTTTTCCGCATCATCAAATCCATGTCCGACTACATGGCGTGCGTTTAGATTCGAAGTGCCGAGGTTAGAGTCGAAGAAGAGCAATCGAATTCAATGCATAACGATCGTACAGTCGCACATCTCGCTCGACCCGTATCGACTTCGGCGACGAAAAGCCACAGAGTGAGCTCGCAACAAGCCATGGATCAAGACCGATCAGTGCAATTTGCGATGTCTACACTTGCGAAGAGAACAATGGGCCCGTGGTCTATCGATTGCAAGTCGATGGAGAAGAGCTGACTTTCTTGCCGGACACTTATATCAGCGATCAGGAGCTTGCTCAACGCCCCTGCAAAGACTTGCCTGAACTATGCCAGAGCATGGAGCTCTCTTCAATCGATAAAGTCACCCTCATCTGCATTCTTGCAGAATCAGCACTACGTTACTACCATTCCAGCTTCGTGAAGATGAAATCGATAGCGGAAAGAATCCACTTTCTTCCCGAAGAGACAGATTCGAGTCAATGCTTGTTTCGTCCTATACGTCCATATATCACAATCGATCGCGATACATTCGACTCGGAGCAGGAGAAAGAGTTTCTGGACGGATTTGGCCTCCCCCATCGATTCCCCCAAATCCTCGCTTTGGGTATGATAATGATACAGATATGTCAAGGATGCTTCAATCAAACCAACCTGAGTTACGAAGGGAAGACTATCAGCATTCATTTCGTCCAGGCAAAAAGACTTCTAAATTCTGAACATTGGCCAACTTTGAATTCCGTCAATGGTCAAGTCCGACAGGCTGTTCGACAGGCGGTAAAAGCTTGCTTCGACAGTTGTATGAACAACTCCCAACTGGGCCGCGAGAGCTTGCAGCTCCGCAAAGTCTTCGTGCGCGAGCACATCGTCCTTCCACTGAGAACTATTTCACCCCATCTGACCTTCGTGGGCAAAGGAGCCGCGACAGAGTTCCTCCCCACGCTGCCCACAAGCACCGCTGGATATGAAGCCGATCGCAAGTACGTGTCACGGCAATGCTTGACGCTTCGCAGATGCTGACCGGACTCAGCAACAGCACTGCACAGCGACAATTTATGGCTGATATCCAGCTACCTTCAAGTGGTGAGAACAAGGGAAAGCAACGTATGCATTCCGGGATGGGCTCATACAATGATTTCAATAGTAGTGCAGGCATCCAGAACAACCTCGCGCAAAATGACGGATCGTACAATAGACAATACCATGCACAAGTGTTGGTGTTCGGCAACAGGCACGAATGATTGAATCTTGTAAGGCAGTGCGAAGATATACGGCCGAAATTCTCAGACCAAAACAAGCTTGCGGCCGCGGTGAAAATACAGTCGCGAGAGCTGGAGAGCCGCGAGGGTGTGCACGGTTATGCGTTAAATCGTTGCAAAACCCGCCACCTTCATTTCTTAAGCTTCCATATCAAAATAGAAGAAGAAAGATAGATATGCCAGATGAGACCTAAGCAAGCATATTCAGCTCAGTAATCGCTTGTCAACTATTCTGCTCGTTCGGGTCGAGCAGGCACGCAGCAAAAGATATTGTGATTGGTCCTATTGAGAGCTATGCTACACCGCCAGCAAATCCAGCAGGTTTGGAATGAGCTGACTCCAGAGGAAATAGGAAGGATTACTAGCAGTTTTAGGACCCGTTGTCAACGAGTTGTAGCAAGGCAAGGCCAGCACACTGAGTACTGATCAAACAGAGGCTTTACAGCCATGTTTGGCTCAATTATTGAGCAGTTCTGGCAGCAAATATCTCGCTTGTGGTTGGCTGGTTTGGTTATTGTATCTTGTAGGGTAATACAGGTGATATAGAGGCTTGCAATGTGACAATTCTAACTCCTCAATTGGCTGTAAAACCATGTCAGAAACACGGAAACTATGCCTCAATTGGAAGCTGATATTGCAGGGGTAACACGCTAGCATGGTGCGGCAAGACTATCGATCGGGTCTGGGTTGGTGACTGTACCAGTATTGCTCCTGGTATGCGAAATCTGAGTAACAATTCCGTTAGTCAAGACAACAGGCCGAAATTTCTGTGCAACTAGCTTCAAGTCACCATGTAACAGCATGCTCGGAGACAGTCTGCCGTTGATAATTCCGGTCGCTAGGTCGTGCCATAATGTTCCAGGATAGCAAAATCTCGCGAAGTATATCAATTTGATTACCGCCACTCGTTACGCATTCGAATCATTATACCACGACTCAGCCAAGCGAACAGACAAAGCTACGAAGGCGACCCGAATAAAGGAGCAAGAAAGACAGTGATCGTGCCCACCCGACGCCAGGCTTAGACAAGACTCCTCGAACTCCAACCCATCCCTCTTTAATCCAAGTACTGAGAAGTCCGAGGACAGACGAAATGCGCCTCTCAGCCTTCCCCTTCCTCCTCTTCACCACCCTCGCATTATGTCAAAGTGCACCAATATGCGAGTACGAAGTCTGCGCCGACCACCTCACCACCGTCCCACCAAATTGGGTCACCTACGACTCCCTACTCGCCGGGCCCATAACCACGAAAGAAAAGATCACAATCACACATTTCTACCATACGTCCGACTACAGTGGTCGATGGGACGTGGAGTGGCAATGCGCGGCGGGCACCGCGGAGTTCAAGCCTGGCACGAAGACGCAGACGTATAGACATTTGGCGAATGGGGTGCTGCCTGCTGCTGTAGGGATTAAGTGCTAGGGATTTCTAGGGAAGCGGCAGGGAAAAGGGATAGTTTGTAGTTATGTTCGGGGTAGCGAAGCCGCTGATGGTGATCAGCAGGTGGAAGGAGATGTAGAAGAGCTGTTTCTTTCCTTTTCTTCCTGAGAGTATACAGCGTATTGTACAATTCTTCGTTTGTTGCGAGAACATAGATTCGGTCAGAAAGTGGAAGTTCTTGTCGTAGCATTTGGTATGAAGAAACGTCATACGGAGTGTAGTCACCGGGTGAGTGCCTAGAGAGACAAGAAGAGCAGTGCGAGCAGTTTCGTAGCTCAGGGAGTCTTGTCTCACAGGACCCCGGATAGCGATATCGGTTCGAACCCAAGAGCCGTCTGCCGATATAGACCCAATACTAAACCGAATACATGTACCTCTCAGGACGGAAGTCGACGGATACATCAAAGGAGGGAGCTTCTTGCTATAAGATCTCCAGCCTCTTCCTCAAACTTCTTCCTCTATTACCTACCATCCCTCTACCTTGTCCAGAATCTCCAAACCTACCAACAGACTCTCATTCCAAGACTGGCCAGCCAAAGGAAACTGAAAGAGCAAAACCCAGTAAACAAACCACGCAAACCAAACATGCGCCTCTCAACCACCACCACTCTCTCCGCCCTACTCCTCCTCACCACCACCCAGCTCTCTTACAAGCCCCAATAACCTGCCGCTTTGCAGTCTGGGCCAACGTCGACGAAATGATACAACGAACATGGATCGTCCACGACGCTCTCTTCGACCCAGGAAATGGCCCGGGCCTCGCAACAAGAGAAGACAGAATCAACATCCAACATTACTACACCACCAACGAGTTTGCGGGAAACTCGGGGAAGCCATGCAGTTGTGCAGCGGGCGAAGCGGAATTCAAGGGGAGTACGCCAAGAGAGATGTATAGGTACAATTATAATTCTCAATCCGCGTATGATGCTGTGGTGACGATTGTATGTACACGTTGATGAGTAGGGTGGGAGTGGGAGTGTCTCAGTAAAGGCATAGGGAAGGTGCTTGAGAGGCCTGGAAGCGGAAAGAGCGCTCGTTTCACGATTTCCCCTCGCGAGAAGAATTTCAAGTTTTTCCCATCAAATCGGTCGCTAAGACAAGAGAAGTTCTTATTAGAGCATTAATATTAACAAACAGGTAGGCAGAGTAATTGTAAGCAAGTAATTTCCCAACCAAAACCAAAAGGCAGTGCAAGCGGGCAAGCTTTTTCGTGCATCCATGCCATCGATAATCTGAATAATAAGTGCTCGTTCCGTCCCTGAAGGAGAGCCCACGATCAACGATCAGATGACATGGCCCTACAACCACGAAGTGGCCAGCACATGCTACGAGACCTCTTATGATTCCCTGCCAGTAAGCAACCGTCCACTGAATATCTCTTCCCAACTAGATGAGATCTGGAATACAGGAAGAGCATTCACTACTCGCTTGCGGCAATGACAGCAGTTGGTCGCGATTGACCGGTTCTAACGCCGTAATAAATCCAATGGACATCGCTCCCTTACGAACTTACGTATATGTATGCCCTTGCAGCCTTCCTTGCCTACTCAAGCAGGACACGCTTCTGCAGAAAGAGAATTGCCAAACTTGTCCTCGATCTGTCCATCAACGACAAGCATGAACACAGCCAGCAGTACCAAAGCCAAGCAGAATGCTCAGTGACAGACAGCATCCCACAAGCACAATCGTAAACGGCACAGACACAAGAACGAGAAAAGAGCAGAACTTTTATCATCTCGTTTTGAGCAACCAGTCTCATAGCCTTCTCTCTTTCCCTCAATCAATGCAAATTCATCGCAAGAAGAGCATGAATATTAGCATTGATGCCATGCAGTTCCGAAATACTGTATCACCCTCAACGTGATAAGACAGCGCCTTCGATCACGATCCTCCAGATAGAAAGCAATCGAGCACGAGACAAATTCCTGATAGCCATTCTCCGCCGCTATGTTCGACGACTGCTGTAGGACCTAGCATGCATTCTCCATTGCCAGGTTCCCTCTGAAGTAGTGTTGTCCACAAGCACAGCTTGATATTGTAGGAGGTGGAAAGAATTGGAGCTCAAGCCAGGTCGCGGGTGCTGCACAATGGGTGTTTACCGTTGCTAGCGTCAGAATTGCGGATGATAAGAAACTGTCCAGATGAGAAACTCTCCACCTCGCATTACAGGAACTCATGCAATGCTGTCGAAGAATCAGGTTCTTCATTCCCTTCAACGCTGGCGCCCCTCAAAAACTCGACATCTGCGATGAGGTTCCAACAAGGAGCAATCGCACTCGCAAGTCGATGTCATGCATGGTGGTGGAGTACTAGAAGAAAAGAAAAGAACAAGAGCCAATGTGAGAAAAATCAGCATAAAGTCATTAGACATTTCATCCATGCATGCCCTATGCGCTTCCAAACTCGTTCGCCAGTAGATCTCATATCATACAACGCAGTGGGAGGCGAACTGCCCTGAATCTCTCGAGACGCCACCGCTAAAGTGCACAATGTGCAGACAGATGCAAAACAACTTTCTCGCACAATCTCTCCTACTGCAACTCCTTCTCACAGATCTCTCCTTCCTCCCTCTTCCTCGGCGTCCTCCTGTGAATGAGTGACTGTCGATTTGTTCAATGATCGAATCTGTTCGAATGTTTCCTTCTCGTTCCGGGAGAAGTGCTGTTGTAGTAACACATATTTGCAAGAAGTCCAAACGGGAGCCGACTGCGCTGGCGTGTCATTGGCAACAGGCAGTCATGAGTCAGAAGAGTTTATGCGGCACAAAGCCGTAAAAGGCCGAGCAAATCGGATGAGGATGCTCAATGCCTTTGGCGTTCGATATGATGTGCCTTGCGGCGGCCGTGGCTCGTTAGGTCAACCTTGGTCCTCCTTCTTGGGACTGCCGGCACCACTGATGGCAATCCTCAACCCCTCGAGCGATGGAGTATTCGCCCTCCTTGCATCACCAAATGGATCTCCTGTCCCAGAACTACCGACACTTCCAGGCCCTCGGTCGTGTCGGGTTGAGTTGGGGGAAGCATTACGCAAAGGCGCAATCATGGTCGGGCCTCCGACTGACATCCTAGCTGCACGAGCAGAATGAATCGAAGCAGTGTCCGAATATGCGTCCGAATTGATGCTCGCGGCTGTGGACCCACGTCGAGCAGTGCGCATAAAGGACGGGTTGGGCGACAGGAACTCCGAGGGCGACAGTGGTGAGACTGGCGATGTGGACTCTGGTGCAGCGCGAGGTACATCTGTTGCGAGCTGAAGCTGCCTCGTCTGGGGCTCAGTGGTTGGGCGAGGAGCAGTTTCAAGCGGATAGGGCGGAGGCTGCTCCTCGTGCGATATGGTCGTGGCCGGCACGAAGGCAGGTTGATTGTTGACAGAGGTCACTTCCGGAGTGGGATCCTTGTGTGATGAAGCACTGCTCCTCAGACTGCCCCATTTCTCTCTCCAGCCAAAGAAGCCTGCTGCGCCTCCTCTGCTATGTGTGCTGCTGACTTCCGGGGTGTTGGGCTGCTCTTGGCGAGACTTGCGCCTCCGGCGGAAGAGCAGGAATGCGGCCAGCGCAGAGAGTGTGACGACGATGATGGGGACGGCAATTGCAGCAGCAAGCTTTCCTCCCGAGAGTCCTCCTCCATCATCGTCGGATTGTGAAGTGTTTTGTACTTGTGACTGTTCTGTGGAGGGCGAAGAGGATTGCAAATTGCTGTTCCCCTGACTCGAGGTCTGTGTCACCAACGTCGTGCCGGCACTGGTCGAGGATGCGGTCGGGAAGAAAAGAGCGTTGGTCAATGTGCCTTGGTCGGAGTCGATGTCGTCGGGATCGGTGGTGGACAGCGAGTCGTCCAGCGTGGTGGTCTGGGTCACGACATCGACGGAGCGGGTCGCGGCGATGGCACCTTCGTAGACGCTGCTCATGTAGGCGCTAAACTGGCGGCCGCGGTCGTTGTTGTCGCCGTTGAAGCCGTTTTGCGGGCCGCGGGCAAAGTTGTTGCTGGCCATGGCGCCCGTCTACATGAGGATAAGACGGCGAAAGATTCTGCTGGCGCTGGAGGGAGACGTTGATGCGGGCGACGGGAGTTCGCAGGGTGCAGCAAACCCGTGTGCATGCGGTGTGCGAGGAGGTCGGCGCTACTGCTGTGCAACGCTGTAGCTGCGGTCGCTCTGCCGGCCGGACGTGTCGCTGCGGAGGGCGGGGGAACAGGAGACGGATGTGGATGTGCGGTGATGATGGATTCGTCTGCATTCTTGCAATTCCGCCTGCTGACAGGCTGCGCTGTGCTGTGCTGTGCTGCGCTGCGCGCTGCATCAGTGCATCGCCTCCCTCCCTGGCCTGCTGCATCGTGTCAGATCGGCCGCTTGCACGCGACCGTCGCCATCGAGGCCAATCGCGCGGCAGCAGCAGGGATGCGAGCTGGTTTTAGCGAGCAGACGGTGAAGTCATTGCCGCAGCAAACCTCGAGCTCTGCGATGTGCTCTCCGCTCGCTTCGACATGGTGCGACACTCCAGAAGCTGTGGAAGGGTGCGCATCTCTCCACTGACTCGTCAATGCCCCGGTGGCGGCGGTGGTGGGCGTGGGAGGTGTCTGTCTGCGCGCGGTGAGGTGGTGGAGCGGGGAGGAGCAGCGGCCCTGCGCCGGCATCTGCACCGGCCGCTATTTGTGGCACTAGTTAGTTAGCCGCGTCCTCTTCCTTCTTCTTTGCTCACACGTGCTGCTGACTGCACACGTCAATCCTGCTGCTGAGTACATCCTCTGCAAGCAACAATGCTGCAATCTGGACGACGTCCGATTCTGCCGCCATCGATCTCACCATGGTGTTCATCCCGGCCGAACGCAAACGCCTTCTGCCACAGCTGTTGGAGTCGCACCTACAGTCTCGACCCTATACAAGGATGCCATGGCGGTTTCAAGAATATTCCTCGCTTCAGGGCATCGCCATTTTCTCCCATTGACGAGTCGCAGATAGATGCCGAAACCTTCGAGAAGGCTGATTCAAGCAGGTGGATCTGGAACGACACTCAATGCGCGACAGAGTGAATCTGGCTGCGCTCTTGGCACGGATTGTACATTGTCGTTTTCCTGATCGAGCTTGAGGCAAGCCTGTGAAGGAGAATTTACGCGCGCAGTACCGGCATGAGACGGACAGAAGACGCATTCATCAAGCACTACAAACAGCAGACTCCCGGCTTCCAAGATTCAAAAAAGGTCCATCCTGAGCATCTCATTCATTCATCCTCCACACCAGCTGGCACGTAGAATGGGCGTGGCTGTGCTCCTCCCGCCATGTGCTGTCCTGAACGCGTTCTTCTGGCAACACCACCATTCGCCTTGGCAGATGACACTTCGACCACTGTGTCTTCGCAGCCCTCATCAAAGCACACATGCTCTCTTCAGCGATCTGCAATCGTCCTTGCATTTAGAAGCTCGGAAATAACCACCTCCAACCTCGGAAAGTCAAAATTCACCACCAGTCAGCCAAACATGCGGGGTAGGGTTCACCCCGTCCAGTATTGGCATTGAGAGCATTGCCAATGCATGATGACATGTATGGCACTGGATCAAGGCACTTCACCTCGATGCAATAGCAACACTCGAGCTATAAAACATCGATACCAAGCAAAGTATTTCCTGCAACGCGAACGCAGTACGCATCCATCATGTCCAACTTCGAATTCGAACCCGACACTGACGGCGAAATCCATCGTCCCGCCTACCCTGCTCGAAGCGAACCATATCCATACATATCCTACAACATCCCCTTCCACAAAACTATATCCAAGCACCTTTCTTCCTCCTCCCCATCTTCGCCTTTCACAGGCAAGTCAAGAGTATACATCATCGCTTCCGCAAGCTTATCCAAGAACACATCTCACATCCGAACTTTACTCGACGAGCTTGGCGATAGGGTCGTAGGAGTACGATATGGAATGCGACCACATACATTATGGTCTGAGATCTTGGAAGTTACGAATGATGCCCGAGAAAAGAAAACCGATGTCCTGGTGACCGTCGGAGCGGGGAGTTTGACCGATGGGGCGAAGATCATTGCTTTGGTAAGTCTTCTTTTCCTTACCACATCATTCCAGACGAATGAATTCGACGATGAACCCAATGAGCTGATCTGGTTCTCGGAGCATTATATAGGCCCTCGCAAACAACGCCTCCACATTCTCCGATCTCGAAAACCTCCATTCCGGCAAAGATTGGTCGAAGAAGAGACCAGATTTGAACGAACCTACTGTACCAATAATCTCCGTCCCAACTTCCCTCTCCGGCGGAGAATACTCTTTCCTCGGCGGCGGAACCCACGATACTTCGCAAACGAAATTTGGTTTCGGCCACCCAACCAAAGGTCCCGCATTAGTGATTCTCGACGCAAAACTAACAACCACGACCCCCGAACACATTTGGCTTCAATCCGGCGTTCGAGCAGTAGATCATTGTGTTGAAGGACTCTGTTCCCTCAGCGAAAAGGTTTCAACAGAAAGTGATGAATCCGCTACGAGGGGTTTGAAATTACTAGTGAAAGGCTTGTTGAAATGCAAGGCGGACCCACAAGACCTTGTAGCTAGACACGAGTGTCAAATGGGTGTGATCGACGCCATGGGAGTCGTGTTCCAATTCGGTGTTCCGATGGGTGCGTCACATGGAATTGGACATCAATTAGGTCCAATGGGAGTGGGGCATGGGGAGACGAGTTGTGTTTTGTTGCCTGCTGTGTGTCGATTCAATTCTCCAGTCAACGGAGAACGGCAAGAGAAGGTTAAGGAGATATTCTGGCAAGACGAAGAGGCGAGGAAGTTGTTTGAAGAGAAAGCTTTGAAGGAGGAAGAAGCGGATTTGGGAACTCTGCTGGGCTGTTTCATTTCAGCATTGGGCATGCCGAGGAGTTTGAAAGATGTTGGCGTGGAAGGGGAGGAGAAATTGGAGATGTTGGCTACTAATGCTCTGACGGATCATTGGTGTGAGACGAATCCGAGGCCGTTGAAGACGGAGGAGGATGTTAGGGCGATTTTGGAGATGGTGAAGAGCTAATTGTGATTGGTCGTACGAAAGCCGCCGGCGTGTTTTGAAGGACGCATAAGAAGCGCAACATGGTACGGAACCAATTCACTAGATACCCATCACTGGTCCACGAAAGACTTCGAGCTATGCGTTGTTGTATACGCAGACGCAACTCGCCAGTATGTCGAATGCACAACTCGATGACCAAATCTGCTTAGGATGCAGGAGGATTAGAAATAACTCCCTTGGTATAGAGACACAGACGGCAGCACAGGTAGAAGAAGTCGTTTTATTCGTGGCGCTATCTACGATTCTTTCTCTCCGATGAATAGGTACTGGTAACTTCGGCCAACGACCCGCATAATGATAAGAGCCATTCGAAAAGAAATCGAAAAGCAATGACACAGTACGGATTGATTAATCTGCGGAATCTCCCCCTCATTCATCTATGCCTCCCATCCTCCCCACCAGCCAAACCCCCTAACAACTACCCGACATACTAACATCCTCGCAAAAACAAGAATCAAACCCATTCACCTTCCCCCAATTCGCCCCCGCATTATGACTATACGGCGCATACTGACACAACCCCCCCTTCGTAGGCCAAACCTGATACAACTCCGCTTCCTTCCCCTCGACATAATAGACATCAGCCCTCATAACACAATCACTCTTCTCCCACCCGATCAGAGTAGCATCACAGCCGCCCGCTGCATTATTGCTGCAAATCGCTCGACGACCTTGGACTTTCGGGGGTTGGAGAGCATTGGTTCCGCCGAGTTTGGCTTCGTTGAGGAGGGACCAGAGGCAGTCGTCTAGGGAGGGGCCGTTTTTGGAGGTTATGGCTAAGTCGTGTTTGACTTTGGGGCCGTGGTAGGGTGAGAGGGCGAGGGTGGAGGGTAAGAAGGCGACTAGCGTGAGGAGGGCCGTCGTGGATGCGCTGAGGGGGATGTGCATGATCTGTGTTTCCCGTGGTAGCAATCGATTGTCGGGATGAGATGGATATATCGAGGTGCCCGGATCGATCTTGCGTAAGTAAGATAGATGGCTGAGTGTTGCACCTCTGTGGTAAAGCGGAGGCCGCAAGTCAAATATATATGCCTGCGACCACATTGCCTCCGCTTGGCCTTGGAGTAAATCGGTGAAAGGACTACTCGCAAGATACTCACCTCATTTTTAGTCACATCAAACGTCCGACCTGTTATACAGTCACTAAACCGTACCCGAGCGATAGTTTCTACCATTTTGGCCTAGTGAAGGGCACTGTTTGATCGCTAGACCAGCATTTTACGAAGGCTTTAGCGCACAGCATTGCGAAGGCCAAGGGTTCTGCACGCTAACAGGGTGCGGTATACTATCGATCGGTCCTTAGATAGTGACAATCTATACAGAGGACCGACAGCACGGAATATATCGATTTCCTTGGGCATTTGACTCCTTTTCAGTAACCGGTTACAAGCACTTATGTCTTATCGTCTCACTTGGAGAAATCTGCACAGCCAGGAACAGGTCGTCTAGTCTGTCGGAATGGAGCTGAAGTGAGTAACAACTTCTTTAGTCAGTCTCAAGCATACTGTATATAATCAGAACCCGAACACGCTAACAGGGTGCAGCAAACCATCGATCGGGCCTAGCATGGTGACCGTACATTAAGTTCAAGAGGCTCATCTCTCGTCTCGTCGGTCCGTCGTACGGATGCACCGGTTGTCTTGCAATCAATAGCTATAGCCCGGACATTGGACTTCAGCGCTCTCCCGGAGATACGAGTGCCGGAAAGATTAGGATCTGGATGATCCCAAGCCCATTCTGGCGCAAAACTTCTCGACTACGACGGGCAGGGAATTCTGTCTTCCAACCTGGCGGCAGACCAGAGGATTTGGCTTCGTGTTTCCGTCAGACACAAGCCTGGCCCTGCCACCGAGCAGGGCCTGGCCCGCAATACACCTCCGGCGCCAGAAACGCAGCCAGAGCCAGAGCCACTGCCAGAGCCAGAGCCAGAGCCACTGCCAGAGCCAGAGCCAGAACCAAAGCCAGAGCAGATACCTCTCCCGGAGTCGCGGCCAACGACGCCGCGTGATGAAGGGTAAACACGCCTGCCGAGAGCTAGACGCCGCCAGCGTTCTGGAGATTGGATTGGAAGAAAAGCGAGATTGCCGTATGTTAAAAGAGTGACCACAATCATCGCATGAATTTGATCGGCAGAGAAACCTGCCTTGCGAGGAAGCACCCATATAGCGGAGGATGTGTTGCATATGGTCAGCACATCATCTCCCATAAGCACCCAGGCCTCACATTGATATTCGTCCATGTTGTTCTCGATTGCCTCCAAGACCAGCGGCTTCGGAGCAAGCTACTAATTCACCTTGGTCCAAAGATCGATGAAGAGAGTCTCCGCACAGATGCGCAAAGCTTCAGTCCACCTGACCTTTGAGCAATATCGAGTGCATGGCGGAAGTCGATACCGGGGACTGGGAGAACATATCCATCAAGCGCACCATCTGAGCGGCTCGCTGCAGGTCCGTGTGAAGAAGAGGAAGAGGACGCTTCTTGGCATAACTCACAAGCACTCCCACTTCCCTCGGTATCATTGTCAATGACAAAGTCCGGACAGCATTCTGGCTCCCTCGCACATGGTTCGCCATCATCGCCTGGAAGTTTCCGACGATCGTCGCTAAAGTGTCAGCAAGGCTCAGAAGCACGCACGCGGCCTTCAAGCAGCGTGCTCACAGGCACCAAATGCTAAAACGTTGCCCCGGGCTCATGGCCTCTCATGCCGATGGTCCGGAGCACATGTACGTCTGCAGCGCCAAACACGACGTCCCGGGAGTGCGTCTTGCCTGCTTTTCAAGCAGTCGACCTGGCTGCTGCCAGCGACAAGCAAGATAGAAGCTCGCTTCCGGGCTCACGCTTTCGACACGGCGTTTACTGGAAGAGCGATTCCAGCATGTCTTCGTCGCTTCCTTGCATCTCTGACTTCTGCGGCGGAGTTGAGCCATTTTGTATCCCAAAACAAGACAGGCAAACAATTGATGCCGCGAGAGGTTGGAATCGTCAGCGTATCGGGATAACCATGTTGTTGTCCATAGCCAGGTAAGATCCGACAGGTTCATCCGACAGACAATCTGCATCAGTACCGCGGGGCAAATGCTATCTTTCTTCACGGTAGAAGCGGCAGCAGGTGAAGTCTGCTCTGCATTATATCATCCCTAGTATTTCCGGCTTACAAAGCAGTCAACCTGGTCCATCTGCATGTTGGTGTTCCAAAAGTAGACGGACACTTTGATGGTTTCTCAGTGTTGGGTTGGACAGCCTGCCGATTCATCTTCTTGCAATCAATGGCCTCTTCAGTTCTGTGTGCAGATGTAGCTGTCTCGTCCCATTGTCGGATACACCGCGGCGGGCGCCCGAGTTCCAAGACGTCCGGTTCTCCTCAATGTCGTGTGCCAATGTGGGGGGCGTATCGAAGCATCGGATGAAGATGAAAAAACGAGCAGGTTGCTCCGTGAGTTTGCAAAAGTCGCGCCTGGCTTCGTCTTGTGCTGTGCTTGTGTGCGGATCGGCGGCAGAGGCGCCGAAGTGGCGCCATTGATGTGGAGCTTGCGAAGATCTTGGCGCATTCTCCGCTCCCCACGGGTCTTCCTGGACGTCACCTCGCCCATTCCGGCTTCAAAGTGGTTTTGCCGACTGGTGGTGGTCTGATCTTCCGACGTCTTCCGCTTCTGAAATATCTCACATGCTGGGAGAAACTATGAAGGGCATGTCTGGATCACTCGCGCCGTGGACGAAGATGTGCCGAAAGAAGAGAAGTTGCTCCTCAGGAACATCGCACAGCATCAGCAACAAAACCGCCGCTAGACCTGTTCCTGGTTGTGTCCTCCACATCCCGGACGACTAGCGCTGCACTCCCCGCAATCGTGTCTCTCGGCTGAACGAAGTGCCTGCAGAGCCCGCCAGGCCACGAGAGTTCAGAGCCGAGAAGGAAAACCTCGTGGCGCCATGCGAGCTATATTAGACTGCCGCCCAGCGCCCTCGACATATTCCGCCAGGCACTGACTTGTCCGCTGCAGAGCTTCATCTCTCAACATGCGTTCTGCTCTGGGTTTCGCCTTTTCCGCCCTCAGTGGCGTGGCATTGGCACAGACAGGTGAGCTTCCTCGCGAACGACTTTGCCTGAAACAATACTGACTCTTCGCAGGTCTCAAGGCCGAGGGAACAAACTTCACCTTGACTGGTGATGGCATGTCCTATCTCTTCCACGTTGACCCCAAGTCGGGCGAAGTGGTTGGCGATCACTTCGGAGGCACTGTCACCGAATTCGTACCTCCGGCGCCCATCAGCACTCAAGGCTGGCACGATGGACTCGCTCTCGTAAAGAGAGAATTCCCAGATGTTGGACGCAGCGATGTCCGACTTCCAGCCATCCATATCCGCCACGCCGATGGCAACACTGTCACAGCATTCGCATATCAGTCTCACGAGGTCATCGAAGGCAAGCCGGCACTTCCGGGACTCCCTGCCACATTCGGAAATGCCAGCGACGTCTCGACTGTCAAGGTGACTCTCTACGATAACTACTCCGACGTCACCGCCGTGCTCTCGTACTCCGTCTTCCCTCGCTACAATGCCATCGCACGAAGCTTCCAGATTCACAACAATGGCACCGAGGACATTGTCATTGAGCGTGCAGCATCCTTCAGCGTTGATCTGCCGAATCTTGATCTAAACATGGTCGAGCTGCAGGGTGACTGGTCGCACGAGATGAACAAGGTCATTCGCAAAGTGCAGTATGGCGAGACCGGCTTCCGCAGCACCGAGGGCTACTCGTCCCACCTTCACAACCCCTTCTTCGCACTCATCGACCCAACTACCACGGAATCGACCGGTGAGGCATGGGGCTTCAACTTGGTCTACACCGGTAGTTTCGCCGCCACCGCTGAGCGATTCTCTCACGGCTACGTGCGTGTCCTGCTCGGACTCAACGAGCTTCACAGCACTTTGTCCGTGGCCCCAGGCGAGACCTTCACCTCTCCAGAAGCCGTAGCTGTCTACTCTTCCGAAGGACTGGGAGGCATGAGCAGGAGCTTCCACAGCCTCTATCGCAACCACCTATCGAGATCACACTTCACTCACGAGACACGTCCTATCCTCCTCAACTCGTGGGAGGGCTTGGGCTTCGGCTACAACGACACCTCCATGGTAAGGCTGGCTGGAGAGGCAGAGGCTCTCGGTGTCAAGCTCTTCGTCAACGACGATGGATGGTTCGGCACGGACTTTCCTCGTAACAACGATACTCTTGGTCTCGGAGACTGGACCCCCAACCCAGCCAAGTTCCCCAACGGTCTCGGTCCTTATGTCGCCGCAGTGAACAACATCACCACTGAGGGAGCTGATGCTTCTCCGATGAAGTTTGGTCTCTGGGTCGAGCCGGAGATGATCAACCCCAACTCTACCTTGTACCGCGAGCACCCAGAATGGGTTATGAAGTCTGGACAACACAAGCAGACCTTGACCAGAAGTCAGCTGGTGTTGAACGTCGCCCTTCCCGAAGTGCAAGAATTCATCATCAACTTCGTGTCTGAACTGATCGACAACGCAAACGTCGAATACATCAAGTGGGACAACAACCGTGCTATCCACGAGATGCCAAGCCCATCGACCGACCACAAGTACATTCTCGGCCTCTACCACATCATCGACACCCTCACCACCAAGTATCCACAAGTTCTTTGGGAAGGCTGCGCTTCCGGTGGTGGTCGTTTTGATGCCGGTCTGCTTCACTACTGGCCTCAATCCTGGACTTCGGACAACACCGACGGCTCTGACCGCCTGACGATCCAGATGGGCACTTCTCTCGCCTACCCTCCATCCGCCATGGGTTGCCACGTGTCCAAGGTGCCAAACGGATTGAACGGCCGCAACATCTCAATCGAGTATCGTGCTCACGTCGCCCTCATGTGCGGCTCCTTCGGTTTCGAACTCAACCCACACGAGCTCACTCCTGAGGAGACTTCCGCCATTCCAGAGATCATGGAGATTGCCAACCGTATTGGCCCGATCGTCATCTCTGGCGACTTCTACCGCCTTCGCCTTCCAGAAGAGAGCAATTGGCCAGCAGTACAATTTGTTTCCGCAAACGAGTCCACTGCTGTCGTCTTTGCTTTCCAGCAAACCAACGCCATCAAGCCTGCTCCTCCGCCGCTCAGACTGCAAGGTCTCGACCCACAAGCGAGGTACTGGAACGATTATGACAACTCAACGTACTCCGGTCAGACGTATATGAATGGAGGGTTGAATTTGGACTTCCCTCAAAGGGATTACCAGAGTATGTTGGTCTGGTTGTACAGGCAGTAAATGAATGCATGGAATGTATCGTCATGCGAGATGTATGACGCGAACAAAATTTCGGATAGAATCTAATGAATAATGATCATTGGTCTCGACCAGAACGTTGACATCACGATAAGTGTTTCACTCCAGTCTCTTCGAGCACACAAAGCTGTCGCGGCCATTACTGACTTCAAGACTCGAGGACAATACAGAAACGAGTCGTTAGAATGAGGCAAGATAACAACCGTGGCTATCTCTGAACACAACCCAAGGGTCTGACCGGAATGAACCTGGATTCCACAAAAAATTCACTGACAGCCTCAGCGACCTGCGGCTGTACTCAGAGGGAGTTGCATCCAGAGGTAGCCACGGCCAGAACTCGGAGTGAACCACGGATTGAATTGATGAAACAAGATTGCAGAGCGACTACCAGAAGCACAACCAATCTCATCGAGTCTTGTCCACACATCTAGGACGTGGCTCTTCATTGATGAAAATCACCCGGCAGCCACGATCGCCTGAGGCAGGAGTCAGAGCTGGACCAGGCAGCAGCAGCAGTCTCGATCAGGAAGCGGCGTAGGACATGCAGCCAACCTTATTTCGAGCTAGCTCCACTCTTATATGCCGTCTCTTCCTGCTTCTTCTTCTTCCTCCTCCTCTTCTTCTCCGGACACACTCACATCCATCCATCTTTCAGGTCCAAACTCGACGCAAAGCTTCTTCACAATGTGGTTTGTTCTAGAATCGGTTCACAGATACGCTCATCTAGCTAACCTTGTTCGAAACAGTGCCCCTGGTGTCGACCAAACAGAGCGCGCTCCACAGCGTTGGAGCATCCATGTTCCCGAGTTGAAACATGAACTCCAAATGTCTCTCTCGCCGGGCTGGGAAGAGAAATACACGCTCACCGAAGCCTTTGTCAACAAGAAGTGGCGCTTTGGCGCATTCGAGAAGTTGCTGCGCAGGACGAACGTGCCGACCAAGCTCTCGTGCGATGACGAGGGGAGCTGCGACCAAGTAGGAGGCGTGCCATCTCAGCTCATTCCTGCTATCGCCAAGGAGACCAAACCACTCGCTCCCATCGAGCGCCTGCCTGTCGAGCTTCTCAATATCGTCCTCGATGATCCCGACCTCGACAAGAAGGACAGAATTGCACTTGGCTGCTGCTCCATCACGAGCTGGATTTTCGTCAAAGCGCACATCCTTGCCGACTGCAAGCGTAATCGCATCTCCTGGGCCGGCAAATCCCTCATCTGTACTGGAACCTGGCTGTCCGACTTGCCCACTTCTATCGTGGAGCTCTTTCCTGACTACGTGGAAGAGCAGAAGGACTGGAATGCTCGTACGCATGGACACCACGTTGGAGCGAGGTATGGGCCTTGTCCGGCGAGGATGTGGAACTATCGCCAATCGGATGAAAGCGTGGAAGTGGAGCCAGAAAGTGTCGAGGAGGAGTGGATGAGCGCACTTGAGAGTTGGACTTCGCGATTTGGAGAGGACGTGCCATGGAAAGTGTTGGAAGCGGACCTCAAGCGCGCTCTACGAGCCGACAGTGGACTATGGAACGCAGGTCCCAAATCCTTCGTTCTTAGAAACCTCACAGCAGGAGAGAAGGTTCTGCTGGACGTCGCTCACCCAAATGGTAGCACAACTTGTGCGAAGGCCGTTGTCAAGGGATATCCAGATGTCAGTCTCGATGCCGCACTACTGACCAGGATCTGCTGGGGCAGGGGCATCCTTCGGGAACGCAAGCATGCGAAGGGACACTGGGCTGGTCATCGCTTCGAGATTCTGCCTGCGGATGTGTCAGAGGGCGAAACGAACTTCGTCGATGTCACGGACGACTTCGTGAAGCACTCTGATGATGCTCTCTGCAGAGGACGAGACTCAACGGCAATGAGGCTCAAGGGTTGAAGAAGGGCGCATGATCTAAAGACGATGGTGGGAGGCGGTGTTTCTAGACAATTTGCTGCGACGCACTGTCGCCCCAGGCGCAGCCGGTCAGCTTGGAGCCTTCGATTGGGTTTGGAGACAAGGGAGGCTTTCCACGAGTTCTTTGGATAATGGCCATCGAAAGTGGCGTAGCTCGGAAAATGTGGACGCGGGAGCTGGCCACGGTGCGTCGGTCTCGGCGACAGAGGAATACCAACGGCCATCAGAGTTTACATATAGCTCTAAGATGAAGAGACGAGCCATAACAGGCTTGACACTTGCAAATGACAAAAACACTTTGCTGCTTTCACTTCGTAATCTCGATTCTCTGATCACTCACTCGGGCGTGTAATCAGTCCCTACAATATAACTTTGCCGACAATAAATGCACTCCTGCACGCTCGCTCTAGATGCACACAAACGCTCGAACCAGTCATGATCCGTCATCTCATCACTCATAAAACCATTAGTCCCAACACGGTACAGCAATCCCAGTCTCCCAGTCCCTCGCAGCATCTCAAACACCACTACCAATCTCCTCCAAACCCCCCTCTTCCGCGCTCCCAACTGCCTGCCCCAGATCTGCCGCAGCACCCGTCAACGTCCCATCAAGATCAACAGCCACACTCGTCAATCCCTCCGTCGCATCACCAAGACCCTTAGAAGCAGCCAAAGTCTGCATCCCTTTCGCAATCTTGTCAAGCTGACGCTTTGCATGAGGAATCGCAGGCAGCGCTGGCAGCGAAGGAGACCCTCCAGCACCGCTAAGAACACTCCCACCCGCTTTCCCCAACGTGGAAACCAACTTCTTCCAAAGTCTGCTCTTCACTTCCACCGAGTTCAGCTCCGAGATTGGCAGCAGCACCCGTCGCTTCGCCGTCGAGATCAACAAGGGCATCGGTCGTACTTTCCGTCGCTTGACCCATTCCCAGCGCACTAGAAAGCGTTTGAACACCTTTGGCGATCTTATCAAGTTGTCGTCGATGAGGTGGTCCGGGTGGAGGAGGTGGGGGAGGAGCAGGATTGCCACCATCACTCCCGCCAGAAGCAGGAGTATCGTCGCCAGCAATACCGTCTAGTAGGTTCTCGACGCCATAGCCAACCCCATTATCGGTGCTTGAGAGCACAGAGTTGCACGCAGCACCTTCGCCAGCGAGTTGGCGTCGATGGCGATGGCCGGCTTTGGCGCCTGAGATCATGCTGGCGAGGTTGTTGAGTGCGTTCTCAGTACCCTGCAGTTGGAGAAATCAGTATGGATATCTGGCAGAGTGAAGATAGTCGTTGCCTCCACAGCTTCATTGACGAGCAAAGTTGTTATATTCATGCGAGTGAGATAGCTGTTGGGCGGTCGACCTACATATCCAACTCCATTGTCCGTAGAAGAAAAGACCGAATCGCAAGCTGCGCCTTCACCAGCAAGTTGCGGGATCGGCGCCGCAAAAACGTTGCTCGCGAGAAGGCAGGCCGTGAAGATGCTCGGCACGGACATTCTGGCGAGTGCTGGCGAAGAAATGAATCGATGCAAGTATAGCTAGCCAATCGAAGGCACTGCTAGAACTTCTGAGAGACTGGGACTTCTGTGCTGCTGATGAGTGGTGGTGAATTTGATGACCATTGTTTCCGATGGCAGAATCGACGGATTAAGTATCAGCATATTGTCAGTGTCGCCATTGCAATGCGCCCAAAAGTCGTCACCGCTGTTCGACGCTGGACCTTCGCAGATGAGAGGAGTGCAGATGAGGTCGGTAAGCTCACCAGATCGACGTAGATGGCGGAGGCATTTTGTCCCGAAGGGGCGTTGATCTGTTCATCCTCCATGTGCTGAGCACGTGTGGCTGATCATTTGTAGTTACTCTGCAGGCGCAAGATGAGCCCTGCTACCAGAGCTGTATTGTCCACGAAGAGTAACGATCGGATCCGAGGCGAAGAACTTTTCCCGTGCATCAAACTGCGGCAGGAGCATGAGGTCATTGATCGACAACGGTTGCTGCTGTTTGGGAAATTGAAGAGGTCCAAGGGCCGACAGAGTTCGTGTGGTGGGCTCCATGGCGTTGAGGGGCTCTATTGGCGTCTGTCCAGCTGTTGCAGTGGTGTCGAGCAGTCTGCCAATCGGTGTCGTCCGGATCAGAGGTGCTGAGAGGTCGAAGGAACGTCGAGAGCAGAGGGTTCAATGCTTACGTGTCACAAGCTTCATGCAGTGTCGGTAGTCAAAAGCTTAGCAGCCAAGACTGCAGCCTTTGACGACGAGGCGTCCCTAGGCGTCCCGTGAAAGCACCACAAACCCCTCTGCTCTCCATGAGCGCGCAGAGAGTGCACGAGACGACGAGTCAAGCTTTATCGAAGCTCTGAACAGAAGTCTTCGCCTCTTTGTGATCGGCAGTGCAGCATAGAGCTTTGATCCCGGCCATCGCGAACGAAACCGACTTGCCATTTGCTTTGACAACATGTGGACGACTCGAGCACCAGTGAAGGAAGGATACCAGCCGCGAAATGTTTGCATTGCTTTTGCTTCCTCTTCAGCGCATGTATCACGAGGCATGCGGCTGGAAAACTGTTCCCGCCTTCCGGGAGACGGGTCGCGGATGTACGATGTCGCACGAGGGTCACAGTATGTGCCGGATGACGGAGGGAACTGAGTGCGCCACCATGCCTCCTTCCGCCTTCTGCATTCGATAGCTGCCAGTCGATGATCGACCACGACCCGCGCTCTCACGTGCTAAGTTCCTGAGGAGCAGCTGGGACTAGGCCAATCGATGTCATGGCGCATGAGAACGCCTCACCGCAACGCATTTCCGTCATGGTTGTCGCCAAGCAAACCGAGAGACTCGTAGTTCACCTCGGAAAGCCCTGATGCATCAAGACGAAGATCAAGTAGCTGTCTGCTCAAATGAACATAAGTGTATGGCACTCTCTGGAACAATCTTGGCAAGGTCTGGATGTCTTCTCGGCCTTTGCTCGATTATCCTCTCGGTGGATTGAAATTCCATCGACCCGGATCTAGACCTTATCCGACTCATCTTCCAAAGCTCTGGACGCTTTTCGAAGAGACCATCGAATACGAAGGTTCCATCAGGCGTGGTCAAAGCTGCCGTGCCGGCTCGAGACATACGAAAGTCTACGATGGCAGCTTGGGTCCGAAAAAGACATGGTGCACATGGTGCTTTCCAATCTTCTTCCACACAGCAGGATGGATCGTCAGTAATGTCGAATGGTTCTTCTGCAGGCGATGTTGTCGTTATGGCGACTTGGCTGACTCGACGAATTCTCTGATTCTGTTGGCCCTATGAACGGCTCGTCGTGGCTTTCAGGCGCTGACAAGGTCGCCGTCTAGACCTCGCCAGCGAAGCTCGTGTTTTAGTGCTGACAATATGAAGAACGAACTGGTGTTCAGCAGCAATAGTGCTGGCTTGGCGCGCGCACGAAGCCAGTGACACCGTGTTGCCGTGCTTTGTTCAGTCTTAGGCTCCATGACTAGGTCATGAAATCCCCTTCATTAACGTGTTTGATAAGCATGTGAGCCAGATAGGCATGTAAGCTAGTTTTATGAGGTAGATAACCTTGATTCTTGATTTCTCAGGCTATATAAGTCAGAATTACACCAAAGTTGGATCAATTGAATGCTCAGAAGTCACTCTATCTGATGGACAACCTCTTGAGTTATGACCTTAAATACCACACGTGCTGCAGGTTGGTTTAACCCTTAGCTATTTCTTAATCTAACTAACTAACTGCATTGCCTATCGAGCCTATGCCTAAGCAGTGTCTCTAGCAGCTAATTTAGTAGTATTAATTCTAAGAGTAAGCTTAATTTTCTTCCTTAGAGCTCTATAAGACTATAATTCTTTAATTATAGTCTTTATATTCTTATGTTTAGCCTATAGTAATATCGCTATAGCTTATAACCTTTAGAACCCTTTTAATAACCTATCTACTATATCTAAGATTAAAGTTAGTAAGCTGTTTTAATAGTTTATAACCTTAGCCTTAATCTTACTTATTTGCCTCTTAATCTGCCTTAGATTCTAAGAGGTATTCTAAGTATCTAATAAATAAGATAGTAGTAGAGTTAGTGTTTTATAACGTAGTATTAGCTTAGATAATATAGCCTATAGATCTAGTAGTAATAAGCCTAAGCCTCTAAAGATACTTTTAATCGTATTTAGAGTAAATATAGCTTAATATACTTACTAGAACTTAGAAAGGAAGTCTTCTTTAATTAGATAGTAATATCTAACTATACTAAGCCTTTAGATTCTAGCTAAATATACCTTCTTTAATAGACTAAAATAGTTAATATCTAAAGGCTATAATAGGTAAGAGGAATATAGTAGTATATAGAGAGTAATAATACTTTATTCCTTATAGAATAACTTAAACTCTAGAGTTATATAGCTATTATAGCTATCTAGAATTAAGAT